GCAAGCCCAGCCGCAACTCCTGCAGCGACCATGACCTCGCAATCGAGAGCTACCCCGGCACCAACGAGATCTGCCAGCAGCGTGGGTATTCCGTCTGTATCACAACAACCACGAGGTGTCGCTCAGCCTCGTGGCGCAGGTGTGACCGGGGACTTGTCATCGAGGCCAACAGTTGGAAGTCCAAGCAACGCGTTGGGAGGTGGACTCGGTGCCCCGTCTACTACTGCTGCTGCTGGTGGCGGTGCTGGTGGGTTCCCTGCAAACTCTGGCAGTCTTGGTGAAGTTCCCACGAGCAACCGGGGCGGCAATTTCGGCGGTGCCAGTGGGGTGGGTGGTTTCGGTGGCGGCGTGTTCGGCGGAGTTGGCGGACAAACCTTCAGTGGGAATGGCATGGGGGACAACTTCAGTCAGCGAATGGGTTTCGGGCAACGAAACGGCTTCGGGCAGCAACTTGGTATCGGCGCTCAAAGCGGGAACGCGGTTGGTAGGATACCCGGACAAGGCGCGATGACAAACTTCGGGCAGGTCGGCAACAACGGCTTGTCTCGCCACAATTTGCCTGGCTTTGCAGGTGCGGCACCGGGCGGTGGCAATGCGATTGGTGGCAGACGGTTGAGTCGTCGTGACGTCCAACGTCGTCGCTGACGAGCGAAAGATACGAAGAAGCAGAGTCGGTTGCTGCCACTCTCTCAGTTGTGCTGGGCACGTCAGACGCAGCAGCCCACTGTTCTTGTTCATCGTCCAAGCACGCAGCAGTAAGTGCACCAGGTCGAAAAGGTTCCGTTGCAGAAACATAGCAGAAATACATGTAAACATGAATGGGAAGAGAAGAAGTTGAGCATTCACTCACTGACGGTACACAGACTTCGTTGTTGGTATTCACATCTCGGTCTCGAAACGATTTGCACATCCGAAGAGGCACAGTGCAGAGGAGGAGGATCGGATCCGCATTCTGTGTCCACTTGTCTGCGAGCGAAAACGTTGGCTTCACTTAGATAGAACGAGTGCGCCAAGGACTCAGCGAGGCCTACCTATCGACAAGCATGAAGTATGGGCAACCAATGACCGTACGAGGGAAGACCCTCATGACCCTCAGGATAATCGGTGATTGTGCGAGGGACGGCTACGGATACACTCAAGACAAGGGCACTTCACGCTACTCGCACTTGCGGACACTCTTCTTCACGATGACCGCATACAACAGCCATCTCCGCTACGCTGTACTCGCCTCGTTACCACTGTTTCAAGAATGACGAACATGCTCAAAGCTTAGCTGCCATGTGACAGTGTGTCACGTGACGGTGTGTCACCCAGTAGTCGGCAGAAATCAGAGCTCGCATCGTTTGAGCTCGACAAATCGTCTCCAGAGCTTCACATGACATCACGTCATTCTTGCTCCAGACGAAGCGGCAGGTTGCACACCGTCGTGACAGTCCTCACTCCTATACCATGCAACACATTTGGGCTACGACATCCGGTGCAGCATTCCCACAGCTCGACTGATAGCGAGGCGGACCCGACCTTGAGCGGACTCGAGCTCGAACAGGAATCGACCTGGTGGAGCTCGACCTCCAAAGCTTTCGTCACAGGATGTTGTCTTTACTATTTAGCCCCCGCAGTCTTGTAAGCGCTGCTTCGAGACGGTGGTGACTGTGGATGAGTCGAAGGAGGCGTTTCGTATTTCCATTCATCCTGAATCTATCGTCAAACGTGTAATTACGGCCGCGCAAACTAGCGCATCATGCAAAAGCTGTGACGACGGTACAGACAGAAGTCAGTGCGACGTCCAAATTTGCTACTCTGTACGTGCTTTGGCCCATGTAGCCGTAGCCAGCCGTACATACACGCAGTAGTCGCAAACAGAGCTTGTTCACAATTGCCACCATAGTGAGCGCTGACTGCTAGCTACCATATCTAGCTTGGTGTGGTGGGTTCGAGATGCAGCCAACACCCAAACGGAAGCCGTGTAATAAGACTCACTTACACAATCGAACCACACTCGTGCACACCGCCTTTGCATCAATCACGACACGTCAAATCTTCAGTCAGACACATCACTCGATGGTGTCACGCGTTCAGCGCTTCTTCATCATGTCGAAGCTGTCACTCTCCACGAGCCACTTCGAGCATGTTTGACATTCATTTGTTTGACTGAGGTGTCGTGACGGAGAAGGTGCTAGTACAACGATCAAACCAACGATCAATGTTCGCACCTCTCAAGTCATTCACTAATTTGCAAGCAGCGAGCCAGTCTTCCACCACTCACGTCTCGATCGACTTCAATTCTCGCATGAAATCTGCCACTACATTCGCGACCATCGTAGCGCTGAGTCTGTGCGTTGTCTCCGAGAGCGTACCGAATACACCTGCGCTTCACAGACGACTTGTCGATGCGGACACTCCAACAGTCCAAGAAGAAGCCGATGAAAGTAGGAAACATCGACGCCACCACCATCACCATGTTAAGAAAGTCAAGAAAATCGCGATTCCTGTGCCTGTGGAAGTACCGCACTTCATTCCAGTTCCTGTCAGTGTCCCGTCCACGGTAGTCGCTAGCTCTGATACTACTGCTGTTGTTGGCACCTCCACCAACGTCGCGTCGACCAATGTCGCTTCGACCAACGTTGCTGCAACAGGTGCTGCTACTGGTGCCATTGGGTCAGCGGGTGCAGGAGCTGCCACATCAACAGGACCAGGAGCTGTCACGCCAGCCCCAACGACTGCTAATGCAAGCCCAGCCGCAACTCCTGCAGCGACCATGACCTCGCAATCGAGAGCTACCCCGGCACCAACGAGATCTGCCAGCAGCGTGGGTATTCCGTCTGTATCACAACAACCACGAGGTGTCGCTCAGCCTCGTGGCGCAGGTGTGACCGGGGACTTGTCATCGAGGCCAACAGTTGGAAGTCCAAGCAACGCGTTGGGAGGTGGACTCGGTGCCCCGTCTACTACTGCTGCTGGTGGCGGTGCTGGTGGGTTCCCTGCAAACTCTGGCAGTCTTGGTGAAGTTCCCACGAGCAACCGGGGCGGCAATTTCGGCGGTGCCAGTGGGATGGGTGGTTTCGGTGGCGGCATGTTCGGCGGAGTTGGCGGACAAACCTTCAGTGGGAATGGCATGGGGGACAACTTCAGTCAGCGAATGGGTTTCGGGCAGCGAAACGGCTTCGGGCAGCAACTTGGTATCGGCGCCCAAGGTGGGAACGCGGTTGGTAGGATACCCGGACAAGGCACGATGACGAACTTCGGGCAGGTCGGCAACAACGGCTTGTCTCGCCACAATTTGCCAGGCTTTGCAGGTGCGGCACCGGGCGGTGGCAATGCGATTGGTGGCAGACGGTTGAGTCGTCGTGACGTCCAGCGTCGTCGCTGACGAGCGAAAGATACGAAGAAGCAGAGTCGGTTGCTGCCACTCTCTCAGTTGTGCTGGGCACGTCAGACGCAGCAGTACACTGTTCTTGTTCATCGTCCAAGCACGCAGCAGTAAGTGCACCATGCCGAAAAGGTTCCGTTGCAGAAACATAGCAGAAATACATGTAAAAATGAATGGGAAGAGAAGAAGTTGAGCACTCACTCACTGACGGTCAACAGACTTCGTTGTTGGTATTCACATCTCGGTCTCGAAACGATTTGCACATCCCAAGAGGCACAGTGCAGAGGAGGAGGATCGGATCCGCATTCTGTGTCCACTTGTCTGCGAGCGAAAACGTTGGCTTCACTTAGATAGAACGAGTGCGCCAAGGACTCAGCGAGGCCTACCTATCGACAAGCATGAAGTATGGGCAACCAATGACCGTACGAGGGAAGACCCTCATGACCCTCAGGATAATCGGTGATTGTGCGAGGGACGGCTACGGATACACTCAAGACAAGGGCACTTCACACTACTCGCACTTGCGGACATTCTTCTTCACGATGAGCGCATACAACAGCCATCTCCGCTACGCTGTACTCGCCTCGTTACCACTGTTTCAAGAATGACGAACATGCTCAAAGCTTAGCTGCCATGTGACAGTGTGTCACGTGACGGTGTGTCACCCAGTAGTCGGCTGAAATCAGAGCTCGCATCGTTTGAGCTCGACAAATCGTCTCCAGAGCTTCACATGACATCACGTCATTCTTGCTCCAGACGAAGCGGCAGGTTGCACACCGTCGTGACAGTCCTCACTCCTATACCATGCAACACATTTGGGCTACGACATCCGGCGCAGCATTCCCACAACTCGACTGATAGCGGGGCGGACCCGACCTTGAGCGGACTCGAACTCGAACAGGAATCGACCTGGTGGAGCTCGACCTCCAAGCTTTCGTCACAGGATGTTGCATTTGCTATTTATCCCCCGCAGTCTTGTAAGCGCTGCTTCAAGACAATGGTGACTGTGGATGAGTCGAAGGAGGTGTTTCGCATTTCCATTCATCCTGAATCTATCGTCAAACGCGTAATTACGGTCGCGCAAACTAGCGCATCGTGCAAAAGCTGAGACTACGGTACAGATAGAAGTCAGTGCGACGTCCAAATTTGCTACTATGTACACGCTTTGGCCCATGTAGACGTACATACACGCAGTAGTCGCAAACAGGGCTTGTTCACACATACCACCATAGTGCGCTGACTCCTAGCTACCATATCTAGCTTAGTGGTGGGTTCGAGATGCAGCCAGCACCCAAACGGAAGCCGTGTAATCAGACTCACTTACACAATCGAACCACAATCGTGCACACCGCCTTTGCATCAATCACGACACGTCAAATCTTCAGTCAGACACATCACTCGATGGTGTCACGCGTTCAGCGCTTCTTCATCATGTCGAAGCTGTCACTCTCCACGAGCCACTTCGAGCATGTTCGACATTCATTTGTTTGACTGAGGCGTCGTGACGGAGAAGGCGCCAGTGCAACGATCCAACCAACGATCAATGTGCGCACCTCGTAAGTCATTCACTAATTTGCAACCAGCGAGCCAGTCTCCAACCGCTCACGTCTTGATCGACTTCAATTCTCGCATGAAATCTGCCACTACATTCGCGACCATCGTAGCGCTGAGTCTGTGCGTTGTCTCCGAGAGCGTACCGAATACACCTGAACTTTGCAGACGACTTGCCGATGCGGACACTCCGACAGTCCAAGAAGAAGCCGATGAAAGTAGGAAAGATCGACGCCACCACCATCACCACGTCAAGAAAGTCAAGAAAATCGCCATTCCCGTGCCTGTGGAAGTACCGCAATTCATTCCAGTTCCTGTCAGTGTCCCGTCCACGATAGTCGCTAGCTCTGACACTGCTGCTGTTGTTGGCACCTCCACCAACGTCGCGTCGACCAATGTTGCTTCGACCAACGTTGCTGCAACAGGCGCTGCTACTGGTGCCATTGGGTCAGCGTCTAACGGGGCACCCTGAAGCTTGTAGTGGTAACAGTACGAGCTACTTATTCTGACGACAGAATAAGGCGGTGCCTTGGAACTTCACGTACACTCGTACGTGCAGAGGTAGACGGTAAGGAGAAGCGAGTACTGAGTTTAAGTGAAAAGTAGAACTGTATCTTTTATAGTTAATGTCTGCAATAAGCCTCTATTTATCCTCATCTGACTATGTCTGAATACAAATTTGTATATCAACTATCTGCTGACCACTCATTGCGTGCGTCTGCCGTGGCGTTTCTTCGTTGGTTGATATAATGGCCTATATCAACCAATTAGGAACTATTCGTAAGTGCTACAGAACATTTGTATTTTTTATGACAATATTCTGAGAATATAACTCTTACAGTTATATTCTATTGACAATTTCTTATAAATTGTTATGTACCGATTCACCCCGTTACATCACCCCCCCCCTTAACCATCAGTCACTTTAGTGACTGATTGACTAAATGAATACTCGTCCCAAATCATTTGGGACAGGGTTTGCCCTTGTTGGTCCGAGTCAATAGTCCATCAGTTTCATCGCATGGTAAACAAATCCATGCGGTGCGCGAACAAGGCCGCTGAGAGCGCGTCTGCACGTCTCTGTGCAGACGCCGAAGTAGAAACCGCTGCAACCGATGTGTCATCGGTTGTTAAAGAGTCCCAGCCTGTATCACCTGGTGATGCAGGCGCTCGTTATGAAGACACTCATGTCTTCACAGAGTATGATCTTGGTGTCTCATACTCTCCTGATACGGAAGAGCATCCGTATCGACGGCGATCGAAACCAAGCCTCCTGCCAAGCGTGGCATGGATGATGCTATGCGTCATAGCATCTTTGGTTCATCCGATGAATCAGATGAACCATCAACGAAGCGAAGTCGCTCGAGATCGCAAGACTCGGGCGCTCACAGTGGTGTTGGTTCTCCGATTGACACCACGTCGCAGCGAGGTACCAGTACGTATGTCGGCATGTCGCAGGAAAAGCGGGACCGCAGTGTGTTGCGTCTCGCTCCCAAAATGAAGGCATGGCTGCCTCCAAAGTCAGTCATGGATCGCTTGTCGGCGACGACAAGTGATCGCTATCGAACACGATTGGTCGATTTGTCAAGGATCCATCACCTTGACCATAGTGCGAAAGACAATCACACTGAGAACGATTTCTTCATCGATGCTTTCTTTAGGCATCGATGGTACAGTGGGAATCACAAACGTGAAGGTCCCTAACTGCTTCAAGCGTGGAACGCCTACATCCATAACATTGAGGATGTAGATCGTGACGTTTGGAACAACAAACTTATCAAAGCTCGTGATAAGTTTGAAAAGCGAACCCCGACAGGTGCACGATATAAGCTGCATCGTATGTCTAAGGAGGGTGCGTTACCCTGTCTTTCCTGGGGAGACCCGTGTCCTTGTTGTGTAAACAACTCTGCGCGCGCACCTAAGGAGGCTTGCCTCCTTACTAGCCCGTGGTGGCGCGTACGTATCTCTACGGAGATGTACGAAGGGATTGACAACCTGAAATCCCTTTACGACCGTGCCGAAAAGACTTTCTCCAGCGGTCCTTCTACGGCACAGGATTTGCCGCGTCGTACTGCTCAACAAGACCCAGTACGTCGATCATCAGTTGGGAGCGGGGCTCCCAAGAATCCCAGGACGGGGGATAGCCGCGCCACCGGACGAGATAACTCGTCCGACGTCCGTTCACGTCGCGGTGGTTCAACAGCTGCTCAACTAGATAGCGCTGGCCACCGCGAGAGTCCTCTAATGGAGGTGGAGGAGGAGGAAAGATGCTCTCCACACGATCTTGTGGATCGGTGTGTTCCCGAGAGCTTCTTTGATCGCGTAACGCAAGGGTTACGCGAAGATCTCGAACATGAGCGGAACAGGCGTCTCCAAATGGCGGACACTGCCTTGAAGCATCGAGCTGAGTTTGCCTTTGCTCAGCTTGAGAACGAGAGAGCTCTGCCATCTCTTCATGACGAGCTAAGGGTAGCTCGTGGGGATATCGATAGGTCTCGGGATGAGATAACTGCTCTTCAGACCCTTGTTGATATCCACCATCGGGAGCACAAGGCTCTCTGCGAGATGCTTGAGCGCAAGGGCGTTCTTATCGGAAGAAGCTGCGTACTGATGGTACGGCTTAAGCCGACCAACGTAAAACGTGGGATGCGTTCGCATCTTACGTGGCAACTCGATCGTGTATGCATTGCCTAGGCGGTGCAATACACGAAATTGGCCGATGTACTTGGGTAGTAGTTTACTGCTACCCAAGTTAGTCACTACATGCTTTGGTAGATTAACCGTAGACAGTAGGACTAAGTCACCTTTATTAAATAGAAGAGTGTTTGCCCTTCCATTCTTGTGAGCGTTTTGCTTTTGCTTATCCACCGCTTCGGCGATAGAGTCTTGCACAAAACGGACTACCGTTTCACGAGCCAGTATGAACTCATCGGATGACTCGTTAGCTTCAGTGCGCTGTGAGTGCACTGCAGCACCATCAATCTTTTCTTCAGTGAGGGCTTCCGCACTCTCACTGGCATCATCTTTTTCGATATCGATGTTGTCGATATCGGCATCAAACGCGATGACCTCTTCGTCAGAGCGTGATGAGCGTGAACCAAATCGGTTTTTGCTCGCGCGAGTCCCTCCCCCCCCTTAAACAAGAGTTACACTCTAGTAAGGCGGGTACACGCGGATGGTGCAAGCCATTCACGTAAAACGGTGTATGGGTCGTGGACGCATGCACCGAGTTGTTAATGGCAAAGTCTACCATTGGCAAAAACTCACTCCAACTCTTTTAGAAGTGTACGTATCCTCGAAGTATCTCTTCAAGGACACGATTGGCACGTTCCGTCTGACCATCTGACTCTGGGTGATCAGATGTCGACATCTTCAAGCGCATTCCGAGTGATTGAACACGGAACGCCAGAAATCAGCAGTGAAGCGTGGATCTCTGTCTGATACGAGTTCACGGGGCAAACCATAAAGTCGGAAGATGGTGTCAATAAAGACACAAGCACAGCCACTTGCTGTGATTGACTCTAGCACAGCCACAAGGTGTACCATTTTGCTGAATCTGTCAACAAATACGAGAATACCCGTATTCCCGCGTGCGTCTTTGGGTAACCGAAGACGAAATCCATTGAGATGGATTCCCAGCACTCAGCCGGAACCGGTAGAGGCTGTAAAGGTGCACGCAGTGAAGGACTTGACTTCACTCGTTGGCAGACTTCGCATGCGCGAACATACTTTCGCACAAACTGATACTGGCGGGGCCAGTAAAAGTCTCTACTTACCGTGAGATATGTTTTCTCTCGGCCACGATGTCCTCCTACAGGAGCATCGTGATACTCGAACATGATCCGCAAACGCAGATCAGTATCATCTGGAATGACAACACGTGGTGTGTCACCAGAAACGGCTGTATAATACAGTAACCCGTTACGAGTAGTGTATCGATCTGATGCAGATCGATACGCAGACGACAATCGTTTCAACGATTCTCGAGATGGCTGTGATAGATGTGTCAACAACTTCACAATCTCACCATCTTGGGTGTATGCCCGCCTCACATCATCATGCAACGTTAAAGATGGTATGGTGGACGTCATAACCGCAACAGTGACTGTCTCACTGTTGGGTTTCGCGACTGTTTCAAAGTCGGGCCGACGTGAGAGTGCATCAGCGACGACATTAAGTCGTCCTGGTTTGTACTCGACCGTAAAGTTGTATTCTGCAAAGAATGACAACCACCGCGCCATTCGTTGTGAAAGGTGCGGGCTGTTCACTGTCGTGCGTAACGACGCTTGGTCAGTGTAAACAATGAAGGGTCTATCTCCTAATAGATAGACTCTGAACTTCGCGAGTGCATACTTCATGGCAAGGAGTTCCTTGTCATGCACTGGATAGTTCCGCTCAGCTGGTTGCAGCTGACGCGACTGATAGCAGACGACGCGTTCAACGCCTTCAAGATCGTACTGCATTAATGCACAGCCGATTGCGAAATCGCTGGCGCACAGACCACATGAAATGGCCTGTCCGGATCGGCAATTGCTAGGACTGGGGATTGTATCAAGCTCTGCTTGATACCATCATTGGAGCGCTGACATTCAGCGTTCCATAACCACCTCTCGTTCTTTTTCAACAAACGAGAGAGGTGCACAGTCATTTCGGCGTAATTGCGTGAATACTAATGCAAATACGCCGCTAGCCCAAGGAATTTTCGAAGACCTTTGACATCAACCGGCACAGGCCAGTCGGTGATCGCCTTGATCTTTTCGGGATCAGGACGTACACCGTTCTTACCAACGATGCACCCAAGAAGTGGTATTTCGCTTGCTGCAAAAATGCATTTCTTGAGGTTGGCATACAGTTGATGCTTTTGCATGATTGTAAGAACCTGTCGGACGTGGTACCTGTGAACCTCGACGTCCGACTTTCCATCCATAGCCCGACTATGGATGAATACGTCATCGAAATAACTCGGCGCGAATTCTCGTACTGGTCTCAACAGATGTGATACACATCTGTTGAACGTGGCAGGGGCATTACTAAGCCCTTGTGGCATTACTAGCCATTCCCAGAGCATGCCGCTAGGCGTGCTAACTGCGGTATAGGGTATATCCCGTTCTCGCAGAAAGATTTGATAGGAGCCATCCATCAAATCCATGGACGAAAAGATGGTACTCTTTGACATACCATCAATGATTAGGTCCTTCCTTGGTATCGGCGTCTGAGCCGGTACCGTTGCAGCATTCAACTTGTTAAATGCATGCACAATCCGCCACTCTCCTGTTGCTTTTCGCACACAGAAGGTCGGAGAGCTATGTGGGGAAGTTGATTCCCTCACATGGCCCGCAGCTAAACGATCGGCAAAGAACTTGTCGATCGCAAGTACTTGTTCACGAGGCAGTGGCCACTGCTTCATGACACAGTACTTCGAGCCTGGTTTAAGCTCGACCTCGTGTCGAATACCTTTATCCTTCGGTAATTCGCACGGAACAGTTTCAGGGAACGCATCCTTGAATTCAACCAAATCATCATAGAGAGGATTTGTCTTGAGCGATTCCCACGATTAGGAGTCAAATCGCTCAACTCGTGTCTTTTCATCTAGGACACTCTCGTTCATAGATGAACTACTGAGAACTCTCTCGTTCTCATTGAACAATGTTGCTGACCTTATGTCGGCTACATACTCGTCGTCAGCGACGAGTACGCAGATCTGCTTGCCTTTGCCACTACGCAGATCACGCAAGAATCTTTTATGTTCGAGCGTTGGCAACTGAGTGATCTCCGAAAGTCAACTTCGGAGGCGCAATCAGATCAAGTGTATCAGCGCCTACGCGTGATCCGTTATTGACTAGGACGTTCAATGTCTATGTCATTTCCTGGGGACTTATTCCCTCAGGCTTCGGAGGACTTATTCCTTCGGCTTCCCGGGGACTTATTCCCGCGGGTTTTGCGGAACTTATTTCCACCGTATCTGTAATATCGGGACTTATTCCCTTAACTTCCTCTAGCCGGGGTTGCGCAACCACAGCGAGATCCTCTACGAAAGACTCTCCAGTCGATCTAGAATTATCGTTTCGCTTAACCTAAGCGATCGATTGTTTCTCTTCTAGATGTTACCCGCTAGGGATATATCTTTGTCCCGTTCCACACGACTTATTCGAGTGGTGGACCTTCGGCGTAGCCTGTGTTTCCTCACAGCCGCCGGAATCTTGCTCCGAAGTGTAACTGTTTGTTACACTAAGGTTTTGTGCAGTCGTACTAACGACCGTACCGCAAGTGAGGCCATCGCACTCACTCGTAGTACATCCACACGCTTGTGGACGCTCCAAAACGTTCATCAGATGTCCATCTGATGAACAAGCGGCAGGTATCGTTACTGCTCGATGTTGTCAGTTAACCCGTGGCTCGTACTTTCTGATCCACAGTATTCCAAGGATGACATCAAATTTGTCATCCAAATCCAATACGACAAAGTCATCGTCATATTGAGTATCTTCTAGCGTATAGTGGATCTTCACTATACGCTTCATTACGGTTACGGATGCGCCTGTCGTAAGACGTACCGTCATCCTCGTAGGAGGTGTGTCACATTCACTGAACTTAAAGCGACCATCTTCTAGCGATTGGCGTCGCACAAAATTGTTGGACGCCCCACAATCGACTAGAGCTCAAAGGGACAACTTATTTGTCACTTCGAGTTTCAAGGTAATGAGTGAGATCTCATTACCTGGAGCAGCAACGCACAACGTTTGTGTGCTGGGAGCAACCTTCATCAAGAGGCCCACAAATTCCCTTGACGTTGCTGGACCAGGAGGGTGCTCCGCACCTACTGATCCTGTCCGTTTTTACGGTCCATCCCGTTGTTGCGTCTTTGCACCAACAGCGGACCCGCGTCCCTGCCCCTTTCTCATGGGTAGACGGTCACTACGCCCAGTGTTGCGAGACACTGGACGAGGGGCACTACACTCGTAAGCGTAGTGTCCTGTCTTTTGACGTCTGTTGCATCTCTGCAACTTCTCGTAGTCTGTAGAGCGAGCCTTCTCGCTTTCTACATAACAGAGTTCCATCGGCTCTGGATCTCCGCTGTCATATCGTCTCGGTTGACGATATGATGTCGAGCTGGCCCGAGCCTGTCTCAGACTGAAGTCTTCCTGTTCCGCAATGGAAATGGCTTGTTCTAGTGAATCTAGTTCAAGCCGGAACAGGTGAGCCTTGACGGGACCATCCGCAAGACCCTGCATGAACACCGAAACCAACGTGTGTTCATCAACCGGGTTGGAACTTATACAACTCGTGAGATGTCGTATATGTTGCGCGTAAGCGTGCACATCACGCTTACCCTGTTTGAGCTTCAAGAGTTCGGTTCGAGCTCTGAACTCAGCTCTAGGTGGTTTTAACGTTTGTCTGAGCCGCGACTTGAAGACTTCCAACGACCCAAACGCATATGGGTCGTGCAACTTGAGCCCCAGTGCCCAAGTCTTGGCACGTCCTGCCAGATTTGACCGGGCAAATGCAACTTGCATATCCCCGTCGTCGATGCGATGCGCCCTTATGGCGTCATCCAATTCGACGAACCATCCCAAGAGGGAGTCCTCTTCGACTCCCCTATACTTGGAGATGTCAATCTTCAAAGTCTCGGGTCGACGCGAATGCATCGACCCACCAGCAGCAGCCTGCTGCTGTCTCAACAGTTCGAACTGTTGAGCACCCTGTTCTCTCAACAACTCTGCTTGTCGAGAAACTTGTTGGTGAAGCAAGGCTACTTTCTCGCGTTCTGCGTCAAGTTCATTTTGAATGAACTTGGCGATAGTAGCATGTTGGGCATCTCTATTGAGAGCCTCTAGCATGACGCTAACAGCATGGATGCCCATGGTTGAACCCATTCGTTCAACCGCATCCCATTCGACATCGCTCAAATGGGAGTAGCCGTCACGCGTAGCGTGAAAGCTTTGGTCATCTTCATCATCCAACATATTCATGTTAGATGTGAACGTGGTCCTTGGACGGACTACGAAGTGCTACCAGGTGTAACGGGACACCCTGAAGCTTGTAGTGGTAACAGTACAAGCTACTTATTCTGAAGACAGAATAAGACGGTGTCTCGGAACTTCACGTACGCTCGTACGTGCAGAAGAAGACGGTAAGAAGAAGCGAGTGCTTGGTTAAAGTAAAAAGTAGAACTGTATCTATCATAGTTAATGTCTGTTAATAAATCACTATTTATCTTCATCTGACTATGTCTCAATACAAATGTGTATGTCAACTTTCTGCTCACCACTCATTGCGTGCGTCTGTCGTGGCGCGTCTTCGTTGATTGATATAATGGCCTATATCAACCATTTTGGAACTATTCGTAAGTGCTACAGAACATTTGTATTTTTTATGACAATATTCTGAGAATATAACTCTTATAGTTATATTCTATTGACAATTTTCTATAAATTGTTAAGCAACGATTCACCCCGTTACACGAACAATGGAGTGAAAACCCAGGACTCATTCACACTTCCCTCAATGAGACAGTCATTTGACCACCTGTTAGTTACAACAAGCTCGTTGCGTTTTCATTTGTTCACTCCAATGTCAGATTTGTAACGGGGCACCCTGAAGCTTGTACTGGTGACAGTACAAGCTACTTATTCTGATAATAGAATAAGGCGGTGCCTCGTAACTTCACGTACACTCGTACGTGCAGAGGAAGACGGTAAGAAGAAGCGAGTACTTGGTTAGAGTAAAAAGTAGAACTGTATTTAGTATAGTTAATGTCTGCAATAAATCACTATTTATCTTCATCTAACTATGTCTAAATACAAATGTGTAAATCAGTTATCTGCTCACCACTCATTGCGTGCGTCTGTCGTGGCGCGTCTTCGTTGGTTAATATAATGGCCTATATCATCCAATTGGGAACTACCTGTAAGTGCTACAGAATATTTGTCCTTATGACAATATTCTGAGAATATAACTCTTATAGTTATATTCTATTAACAATTTCTTATAAATTGTTATGTAACGATTCACCCCGTTACAGAAAAGGAGGAAAAACCCGGGACTCATTCCACTTTCCTCAAAAAGAAAAAAATTTTCCCCCCTTTTTTTTTTAAAAAAACCTTTTTTTTTTTTTTTTTTTTTTTTTTTTTTCTAGATTCGTCTCGCTGCTTCTCTCGATTCCAAGTCAAAACTTACGTACCCATACAGCTTAATAGCACACTAGCACTCCATTCCATCTGTCAACGACAAGACAATCGTCCATCATTTCGCCAGGACAGCAGTCGACCCCGCTGTTTTCGCGCACACGCTTGGGCGAATAAACACAAGCGGTTCTAGTGCATGGAAGCGGCACCACTTGCCAGTCTTGGCATAGCGTGTGCACCCCGCAATCATGCAGAAAACCTCTTCTGGCACCGGTCGAGTGTTCCCATCAAGCATGCAATCATCCTTCCCCGATTCTGCAGCAAGAGAAGCAGTACAAGAAGCCGTCAACGTCGATTCGGTCTCTGTCTCGCTGCGCTTCTGCTTGTCTCGCCAAAGACATTTGCTCGTCTCGTTGAGTAACGCATTGTCCGAACTACGTTCATTCACGAGCCTCTGCTCCTTCTGCATCTTGTGCTTCTTCACAGACCGCCTCAACTTGCCGCGCCTCAGCGGCCTTTGGTCTTGACTGCACTTCGTTCTTCGATCCGCTGCTCGTGTGCGCACGCCAGTCACTTCTAACGAATTCGACATCGGCTTCTTCACGCGCCGCTCAACGCCAAGCGCTTGAGTCGCGTGCTCCCCCTCTTCGAGAATAAACCAGACGTCGCGGTTCTTGCGGTAGATCTCCAGCGCGCTCTCCCGGCAGCCGGAACACGCGCGCACGCTGTGGCTCTGGTCCTGCCACCCAAGCTCTCTCTCCAGCACGTGTGTCACACACAAATGGCCACACACCTGCAGATGCGGACAGTGCGGATGCACACACACGTCGCGCACGAGCAGCGCCTGGTCCGCGTTGCAGCGCAGTGGCAGCCAGCGCTGCTCGTGCTCGTTGCGCTTGAGACAGGCGCTGCACAGGACAAGCGCCGGGTCCCCGAGGGCGCGCTCCATCTCCTCTTCTGTGATCTTCTAAAAATAGCTTCTGCGACAGACTCTCGCGTGGTGAGGCAATCCTATCGTCTGGCATAAAACACATTGGCAGAGTGGGAGGGGGGATGCAGGAGCTGTACTACTGTACTGCGCTCTGACTTGGTCGCGCATCCAAACGCCCACAGAAGGAGAAGGAGACCAAGCAGAGTGAAGGTCATAGACGCCACACAACGAAAGCAGTCCGACCGCCACGCGACGAGAAGAGCGACATGGCCGACAAATCGCCTCGAGCGCCGTCGCCCGAGCTCTGGCGACGGCGCCCATTCACATCGCAGACCGCGTCCTCCCCAGTCCAAGTCGCCGTCGTCGTCCAGCGCCAGTCGCGGCTCTCCAGACCACAGATCACTCGAGACACGCGGGTCTCCACCCTACAGCAGCTGGGCCCAGCGATGGCGCAGTGGCTCGCCGCCTCGCCATCGCATTCCGCGCCCCTATAGTAGCAACATGGCAGGACGCAGCAGCTTCTTCCGGCGCCGCCACATGAGCTACGAAGGAGCTGCGTTGCACCCAAGCGAGCGCTTCGTTCCTCGCTCTAGAGGCCGCGCTGCCTCACGCTCACCGTCTAGAGCGTCGCAGCATACGCGCTCACCGTCTCGTTCTGGCTCGCCGCGGTCTCCGGCGCGCTCGAGGTCGCGCTCGAGGTCGTTCTCGCCCCCGAGTTCCCGCACGTTCGCCAGGTGGGGACGAGGCGGACGCGGTGCAGGAGCTGGACACTACGCTTTTGGACGTGGGAGAGGACGCGCGAGCAGCGGCTTTTTTCGAAAACCGGCAGCGCGAACGCGAGCGAGAGGCGTGGCTGAGAGGACGAGGACAAGGAGGGAGATGGTACGCCACTTTCCAACGGGGCAATCGCTTCTTTCCAAAGGAAGTACGGTACAAAACGGCGATATCAGTGCCACGTGGTCGGTCAACGAGCTGGGACAGGGACAGTGATGACGGCAGTGCGTCTCTAGCTGATCACATTCGAAGCCGACAGATGCAAGAGCGAGATCGAGAGCAACGAGGATATGAGTCGGGGTGTCGGAGAAATTACGAAGCAAGTAGCAGATCGACGTCACTCGTGCGGATGTCGGGGTTTCCAGCTGACCTCCACAGAGAAAGGGGGCAGTCGACACCTGAGAAAGAAGGCGACGAGAAGGCAGAGGAAAATCTTGATGTCGCTCGCGAGAGGTCTGTGGACTCGCGCGTGCAGAGTGAACCAGGCTGTAGCGATCGCGATACGACAGGGTCAACGAAGAGTTGCTTGAGGCGAGCGTCCGTCTCGAGCACGTCTGCGCTGCCGCCACGTCCATTCGCTGACAATTTTCGTAAGAACACAGGCTCACGGACAGTTGACGACAGTGACGACGAATATAGCTCTCCTTCGGACGACAGGGTAGAACGTTCACACAAAAGACCGTTGGGAAGCGCGAAGTTTGGAAACCTTGATGTGCGCCAGGCTGGATTTACAAGTTTACGTGCGGATTCGGTGGATAAACATGGAAGGAAAAGCGCAACTGGTGTGTCTCATGTTATGCGCCGCATGCACTCAACTGACGTGAAAGGGGATCATCATATGCAAGAGAACTCGATGGATAAAATGCACGCCTTTACTGATAAAGTACGACGTGCTACTTCCATCGTTGATGCTGAGTTAGACTTGGGCCAGGCTCGAGGATACGAAAAGTTGACGAACACGGCCATGGAAGCGAGGGAAGACAAAAGAGGTCATGGTGCGCCCTACGCAGACGAAAAACAGAGTGAAATGAAAAGGGCAGCTGTTCTTTGTGCAAGAACCGGTGTGAAAACTCATTTCTCTTTACATTCACCAGACATGTTCGGGGATTTGGACAATAAAAAGCCGCGACAAACAGCTTACGTGAAGTCGTCAGAAGAGTCTGTCTCGGTGGAAGATGGAGTGCACAGTCACAAGGGGAGCTCAGCTGTTTTCGATGAGGGGCTATGTTCTTCCAATTCCAAGCGTGGCGCTGACGCTAGCACGGGCGCTTCAATCACAGTACATCCCACTGCGCTTCATGATGAGAACGCGGAACTTGAAATGAAGGAGATTGTTAAGCAAGAGCCGCCCGACGATAATTGTACAGCTACAACAGGCACTCGATCAGGTAGGCCTGGCAAAGTGGATGATGGAGTGTACCTTAGGTTGGACAACGAGGTAATTCTGCCGCTAGACGTTAAGGTAGAAAGTGCGGATGTCTACGACAACATGCGTATAGCTGTGAAGACGGCTTCCAGTGCGACCGCTGATCGGCAGGTGCCGCTCACGAGTGCAATCGTGTCCGCCACTACGGATAAAGAGTGCGTTCGCGATCTGCAAGTTGAAAGAGACCAGGTTGAAGTGAGTGAGAGGGTGGCGTCATCGACCAGAACTGACTCGGCACAGCGGGGCATTACGGTTGCTCACGATAGTCTTCCCAACAGCAAAATCGGCCTAGCGGTCGTCTCACTCGACGTTTTTTCGAGAGGCCAACGTGTTGCGGAAACCGTGACGATTCATCAGTCGCCTGAAAGGGGAAATGGACGAGAGAATCGGGCTAGAATTGAGCGCAGTAGAACTGATCCTTCATCGACTGTGTTCCCGGACTATGGTAAACCACGATCGACGTCGTTTTCTTCTTTTGGCTTACCGAACAGCGGTCGGTGGGATGAAACTAAAAATGACGAGGGCAGGAAAAGTTACTGTGCTGATCCAGCGTTTACATCAAGGGCAGTACGCGGTGATAATCAGGAATCGAATTCGAAGCAAAGAAACGCGTCGCGATGTTTGATTGACAAACATACCGCGGGGCATTGCGAGCGCCCCGCGCGTAGTATTTCTGTCCCTTTTTCGGCACTTCCAGAAGGCAAGAATTATGGATTGTCACACGCTTGGCAAGAGTCAGCACATGTTGGTGGGACGAGAAAGTTTCAATCCGTTGCATCCTTCTCGAGTAAGTCATCCTCTTCTAAACCTCACCATATTTCAGCTACCAACGGGGATGACCAAGGTAAGGGCCGTCACATCGATTCGAAGAGTGGTAATATGACGGGGCCAGGGGTCAGCACAGTTGCCAAAGCCTCTCCACGATCAGCTCTGACGAGCGAACTATCCGTGGTGGCTAATCAGCTTTCTGCAAAAGATGACTGGAACTTGGGTGCACAGGAAGAGTTGCCATCACTACCGGATATTCCTCTTCCAAGTACCGAAAATCGCGGAATCTCTTCACCTTCGGTCGCGGAAGAAGAAACGTCGACTAAACGGCACCGCCCTCGTTTGGGCTGGGGCCAAGGACTTGTTGCACCGTCGCCACCCCCTCTTGCGAAGCGGCAACGTATTGGTTGGGGCCAGGGTTTGGTACAGCAAAATGACGAGCTGCAAAATGATACGGTTGCGCTTGCGGATGGAGACGACACTAGCGAAACCGACGCAAGCAATACGCAATTTACTGCTGTGTCTCCAGATTCTGAGCGCCCAATTGTCAAACTTGAACCCGAAAGATGCGAGCAGGACTCCGGAGGGGGTGCGAACGAGATAGACGATTGTCCTGTTGAAGAAGTTGCTTTTACGACACATGAAATGGATACACAATTGAAGTCAAATGCTGTCGAGAAATCGAAACCGACTACTCCTGTGGCGAAGGAAGCAGAAAACGTCGACAATTCGACGGCACGGTTTGATGATACCGCAAAAGACGACATAGCACCTAAAATACTGTCAAAAGAAGAAGTCCTTTCTACCATAGATGTTCTGGACTCAGATATTGCAGGTGTGAAAAAGGAGATCGAGGTACTGCAACGAAGGATAGCGGACGCAGAGGCCAGAGAGAAGTCGCTGTGTGAACCTGCCGACAACGTCCTTGTCTCAGCTGCTAAATCTGCATGTACAGCTGGTTCTGCTAATGTGAGCAGCGCGACGACTGAGGTTACTAGTGGTGAATTATTACGTGCGCCTACAGAAACAGTGTCAGACTTGGCTCTACTAAAGTCACCTGTGAAAATAGCGGTCGATACGAAGATTGTCGAGCTGCTAGCAGACGTGTTTTCTGAAAACTTACGCAAATCGGCTGCCGCAAACGAAGCGATACCAAAACGGATTGAGCAGGGTCAATTGGCGACCAAAATTTATCACCAACCTAGTGACTATCCATTTTATCAGGCGAACATCAATCGTGGGAAGGCAATTGCCAGCCAAGTGCGTTTGAAAGTACAAATGCGTAATCGTGCGCGCCACGAATACGTGAAGAAACTAGCGCGGGAGTACGTGGAGTTAAAGAAATCATGGAAACTGGATGTGAAGAAAATGGAGAAAGATCGTAAACGCCAAGATAAGATACGTATGAAACAGCTACAAAAGCAAAAGGTAAAAAGCATGAGCGAAAGTGGACCTATTCGAACGACAAATACCATTCATCAGAGTCCTCATGTTCAGCAGCTAGTTGCAGCTGAGAAAGCAGCCGAAGCTGCTGGCGAAGGTACGATAGTGCGAACGTCGTCTCGGCTAACAAACAACTCTTGTGCTGACTTGGAGAACAGCGATTTGGAAAAAATTGAGCAAGCGAAGGCGCAGGCTGTTATTGACCAAGAGGTCCGAAAGAAAAGACTGAAAAATGCGTTATCAACTGTAATTCCAGACATGCTACTTACCTCAGAAGATCGACTGCGACGTCAATTTATACGCTTCGTTAATGGTCAAAGTTGTATGGCCGATGGGCTTGTAACGGATTGGAAATTGAAAGAAAAAGCAGAGATGAAAATAAACCCGTGGAACGACTTAGAGAAGTGCATCTATATGGACAAGTTTCTACAATTCCCGAAAAACTTTCCACGAATTTCATCGTTTTTGAGCAATAAGACTACTGGAGACGTGATCGCGTTTTACTACCGAACCAAAAAAGTTGCCGACTACAAGGCGCTGCTGCGAGAGCAGCAATTGCGGCGCCGCGGAGCAGGGTCAAAAAATACTTGGAGTTGCTGGAACCTGTCAGCGTGTGCAGCAATTTGCCTTGGCGTTCAGTTTCCAGGTTATGTCGCCAAGCTGTTGCTGCACCCCTCAAACTTTCGTTCTCACCAAGCTTCTGACAACATTCTTCATTCGGCGGGTGCCCAGCGTCTTTTGCGTGTCTCAGCAGGAAAGACTGGGAGAAGTCGCAAAACGAATCTGGATACCAGCGTCGTAAGCGGCACTGGTGCTGGAGGTTTGTCTGCATTGGACATGGTATCGGGGTCAAATTACACGTTATCTATGAGCTCGTCCGCGAGAGTCGAACTGACTGATATTATTGATTCGGGGGACTTTTTGCAGACTGCCGAATTCAACTTGTATACCCAGCAGCTGCAGCAGTTCGTTGCAGGACAGCAACGGCCATTTCTCGTAGATTATGCAGCACTGCTCACCGACAATTCGTACTGCACGGGATATGAAGTCTCGACCCTGTCTGTTGAGGAACGGCTACATAAGCATCCAATTCCAAGTAAGGAACTTGAGTCCGCTCTTAGTATGACGATGGTAGGTGCAGCATGCGCGTCCCAAGAAGTCACGAAGGGTAAAAGACAAAGTCTGGCAGTCGGGCTACATGTTAGTCCGAAAAGTGGAGGCATACCCATGACAAAGAAAGAGTCAAAGCAGCAGCGTAAAGCAAAAAAGACACAGGAGGGAGCTCCTGCGTTGTCGACTGCGGCAACATCACTAGCTTCCCCCCAAGCAGCTGGAAGTGTAGGTGGTGAGAAAGTGGGAAGTCTCAGCAGAAAGAAACATGTTGCGGTTTGTTTACCAGCTCTGGATGTTCCGGTGAGCGACTGCGGTGCGCCTTCAATCCCAGAAGAAGAGAACACTTTGCAAAGCGGCAAGAAAGTGGGCCGAAGCACTATTAATAATTCTAGTTTACGTCGGAACAACCATCAGACGAGTGCTGTGAATTCGTCCCCGAAAGCTGATGCTGTGTCGGAAGCGGCGGTAGGAGAAGTACCAACGATATCGGACGAAGCCCCGTTCGACGGCACAGCAAAAAAGAGTTTTGGCGGTATCGTTACAACGCATGCAAACACAAAAGCTTCGTCTCCGTCAGCAAGTGCTGTGGTTGGCGGGGGTAGCGCTAGTACTGCTGCTCCCGCAAAGCGCGTGGTGCAGAAGTGGACTGAAGGAGAGAAGGCAGATTTTCTGAAGTATTTTTCGGTGCGTGTGTCTGCTTTGCGCTGTTCTGTTTGTTATGTTTAAGCGCAGTACTGACTATTGTTGTGCTCCGTGCAAAGCAATTCGGGAAAGACTGGGCAACACTTACGGAGAATATCCCTACGAAGACCGCTGCTCAAGTCAAGAATTACTATCAAAACTACAAGAACAGGTTAAACCTTCAGGATATATTAAAGCGTCGGATTGAAATTGCGGCGGCTAGTGGTGGTGGTGTCGGTAAGGGTGTACTGCATTCAGTGACGCCTATTTCAGCCGTGGCAAATGAGAATACCGCTGCATCTCCTCGGTCCGCTGCTGCAAGCTTAATGAGCGGGACATTGCGACAAGGGGGCCGCTCAGTTGAGCAGCCCGGGGGGCTTTCCATGGGTATGGCAAGCGGATCAATGACATCGAGTGCCGGTGATGCGGACCTTTCATTCCAGGCCGCTCTAAGTGCAGCTCAACCAGGGTTGCATGGCGTGAATGTATTACCGGAACAGTCGATGAACAAGTTTGGTATGCAAGCTCATCACGTGCAACAGCAGCAACAGCATTCCCGTGAAATGGTGAATTCGGCATCCAACTCGGAGCGTTATTTAAAACTGCTAAATATGCAACATCAATTGCAGCTCATGCAGTTTCAACAGCAGCAGAATTCGCAAGGGATGACGTCCGATGGCACAGGAGTGGATAGCGGCAATGCGTATCATGAAAGTCAGGTGCAAGCAGCGAATGCACAGCGGTTGTATCAATTTTCGTGTCAGCAACAACATCAAGTGCACCCTCACCATTTGTCGATGCAAGCTCTACAGCAGATGGGTCTGCCAAGTTATTCTCAAAACCCGGCAAACAGCCAAGAGTTGCAACTTCCGATGCAGCAGCAACAGCAGCAAGTACGAGGGACATTTGTAGAGACGGCACATCCAAGTGGATTGTACCAGCCCATGGGACAGATGCAAGCTCAGCACCCACAAGCCGCCATTGTCGGGGCGCAAATGAGCATGTCCTCAGTATGCGCCCAGCAGTATGACAGACTGACTGATTCAAGCGGAGAAACAGTGGCGGGCGGAGGAGGTGTATCTGCTAGGGATAACGCTGGGTGCTCACCAGGCGTGATGGGAGGTCATGATGCCTCACAACGATCGATGTTGAATATTGCCTTGTTAGAAGGGGAAACCGGTGGTAGTGTGATGCTTCAAGGCACCATCACCGCCGATAATCCACGCCAACTGACGGCTGCTTCTCGCTCAACGGCGATGGAAAGCAGCAGACGACCACAGGAAGTTGAGCCAAGACAATCTGTATGGCAGTCGGCTCTGGGGGGAACCCCTACAAATGCTGCAGCTAATGCAAGTCTGAACCCACACGAACCTTCGGCCACTCATGATTCATCTACAGCGCGAAACAGTGCACCTACAGGCCGTAGGATACTCGTACCGACAGGACCACCTCCCGTGATGCCCGTTCGTAGTCGAATGTCTTTTTCATCCATTCTTAATGAGTCGGAGTCGCCGCGGGATGATGCTATTCTTCGAGGAAACGGGTCAATGGTGGTCCGCCAACAGGAATCACCCCGCATGTCCGAACAACAACGCCGCCATGGGCAAGAACAACAGCAACGGGGCCAGCAGCTACAGTGTGAACAACAGCTACAGCGTGAGCAACAACAACAGCGTGAGCAGCAGCAGCAGCGTGAGCAACAGCAACAGCAACAGCGAGACCAGCAACATCGACTGCAGCAGCAACAGATGCAACATCGACAACAGCCACTACTTCATCTTGAGCACGCGCGCACAAGTCCGCCGTCTTCTGCTGAATTAGCCCAATCTCCTATCCCTGTCACGAGTCCAACTGCGCACCTACTGCCACGAAGGTCTTCCGTGCCGACTCCGCACAACCGGATGGGATTGATGTCAAGTCTTCTAAATGTCTGTTCACCGGAGCGCAGGTCGCCAACTACCGGACACCAGTCTTCCTCGATACAACAGCAGCAACTACAACGCCAAACGCAGTCAGGTCGCTACTACGACACAAGTCCAAGCAATGCAGAGAGTGCAGGAACAGCAACACGAAGCACAATTGCAACGATGGTGAGCGGCATGCCTGCGTCGTCAATTATGTCATCTGCGATGGCGCGTTCGAGTCCGAGCGGTAAGATGAGCTCAAGTCACACGAACAAATCATCCACCCAGATGGCCGTGCTGTCACGCACATCTTCTACCTCGTCAGTCCTCTCGAATACGCCACCACAAGGAGATCCACGTACTCAGCAGCAGATGTGGGGCTACGCGCCCCAAATGCGGTATGAGGAAGCTGAGTTACTGCGGCGAGCCCAACGTGCAGAAGAAGAGGCTGCGCGCGCGGCTGCGGCTGCCGCCGTCGCTGCTCGTGCTCTGCAGGAGGCACAGCAAGCACGACAGCAAGCTCTGGATATGGCAGCCAATATGGCGCGATACAGCAGTGCGATGCAACAGCAGCAGCAACAGCAAGTCCAGCACCAACAAGTGCAGCAACAACAAGCCCAGCAACAACAAGCCCAGCAGCAACAAGTTCAGCAGCAACAGGCTCAGCAACAACAGCAGTATCAGCAACTCCAGCAGTACCAGCTACAAGCACATCACCATCACCAAATGCACCAACAGCAACACGAGTATCAGCAGCAGCACCAGGCCCAGCAGCTCCACCAGCAGCAGATGCAGCAGCATCAGGCACTCCATCATCACTTGCAGCTTATGCAGCAGCAGCAGCAGCGATCCGCGGTGTCCCCCAGCGACCACCTTCTTCAGCAGCAGCTGCATCAACAGCAGCAACAGCCTCCTCCGCGGGGGCCGTAGCCGTATTGCCTGGATTCTGCGATAGAGCACACAAAGAATTGACGTGGGACGCAAGCACAGTCATCCATCCACCAAACGTCACTTGTGTGGTTGAACGGGCAACGTATCTGTGTCAATGAGAAGCACCATCCTCGCTCATGAGATTACTTCCGGTGCGTCGTCATTTGCTCGAAGGTAAATACTTGTCTGGAGGGACCGAGAGCTTGTGTGCATTGTTGAACCCATAGAGCAGCAGCGCAGCATCCGGACGATCAAGTCCGATCGTTGGAGTGAACCTCCAACTGGACAAGGAATTCCTAAACCGGCTGCGTCGTCAACAGCCGACCGGTCAGGAAACTCGTACCTGCGGGAAAGCTGGTGTTCAAGAGAGCAACCGTGATCCATCGTCAGCTTACAGAAATGGGCCGTCGAGTCCGCGATCCACGAACAAGCTGGAGTACAAAAAGAAAGCTGAAATTCACGCCGCACTCTGCTCCAATGTACGGCGTTGTATCCGATGCTGCGTGAGCTGCAGTATTTACGGCAGCCGTGCGGTTTGCTACTTCGTTTTTCCTTTGAAACCTTTGGCGGGTGTTTCGTTTGTGGCAAATACTGAATTGGAAAACGTCCGTGAACGTGGTGCTGTGCTTTCTCGCGCGTGGTAAGTGATACGATTCATTTGCTCTGTTTATGGAGTTGGCGAGAATACGGCCGCAACGAGCATCGAGGTGTCGAATTTGCACTGGCAACGATGTGTCCGAGCGCCAAGGCGAGTATATTATTCTGTGTGGATTTGCTTTGCAGCATTGTGCCGCTTTAGCTGGCACAGGGATTAATCTGCCGTAATAGCTGTGCAACTTTGGCCTGAAGCGCCTTCAACTTGAATGTGGCTTCGCCGCGCGACTCGGCTGAGAGTTCCTCTGGCCGAGACAAGTCGACGACACGCTCGCTGTCAAGACGTAAGCACGCTGTTGGCTCTAGCCCTTCCTCAAACGTAGCAACCAAGGATCCAGCAGGCGCTTTGGCTACTGTGTCGGGGACGATCGGGGAGCCTTTTGCTGAGTAAATAAATTCTCCCTCGCGTGCTGGGCGGAGTACAGTGCTGGGAACTGTTTTCACTCGGCGTCGATCCAATGGCGTCGTGTACATTGACAGACGGCAATTCCTCGAATTGCAATCGCTACCGTCATCTTCAACCTCGTATCTCTCTGCGGGGTCCTCGACGCTGCAGGGCGTAGCAGCCACAATGTCGTCTCGAGCCTTAGAGGAACTCGTATGTGGGGAAGACGACAACTGTGACTGGGACAAGCTGTGGATGGCATTGTGCAAGTCTCCACCAAAATCGTCGACAAAAGTTTTCCACGGCATCTGGCGCACAGCCGCCGGCATAATGAGCAGCTGCATCTTGAGCTCCACCTCGAGCTCCTGCGCTCTTCTTTCAGCATCTGCCACGAGCTCGTCACAATGCTCCTGCACTAACGAATAGAGGGACAAAGAGTCAGTACTCTTGACGATACAGGTATACCAGTTAGTCTGTATGTGTACCTTGTGTCTCCAGCTCGTCCAGCAGCGTGTCGAGCTGGTGCGCGCGTTTCTTCTCCGGACAAATGAGCGCCGACTTCTGTGGCCGCTTCCTCTTCTTCTTGTCTTTTTCCCGTGTATCGCGCTTCTTGCTTTGCTTCTTAGGTGACGCTCGAGCCGCTTGATTGGTAGGAGATAGACCCAAGTGCGAGCTGCTACCGTTCACGTCCATCGCATCGTCCGCTGTGCGATCCACGACCGTGTTCTCACCAATGGCCTGGAGAGGCCCAGCTCCGACTATGGACCGAGTGCTCGCGCTGCGACGACGAGGGCGACGGACTGTGCGGCCGACACGTCGACGACGACCGGAAGCCATCGGACTCACGCCTAGAAGGGTCAGCAGAACGCGGTTTAAGGGTTTCGCCTAGAGTATACTCTTGTGCGATCAGATGTATACGCAGCTGACTAGTCTGTATTTTTAGGCCAGAGTGCACAGCTTAGTATCCTGTATTCGCACTTGCTGCGTCGCAAGTCGATACTTAAATGAAACTGGTGTTCATCCGACTACGTGTTTTATGCGTTGCTTATTCTGTCTTCATGAGACCCTTGGCCAACTTGGCGCCTCTGCGACAGGCCACGCCCACGATCAGGCCAATGAAAAAGATGAGGCCCATTGAGCACATGTACTCAAATGATGTCACCAAAAGCCGCTCCGTGTCCGTCTGCTCCTCTGTATACCACGTGTCTGTCAGCATCTTCCGCTTCGTCCAGACCGTGTGGGCGAGGTACGAGGTCACGCCTACCACCAGCCCGCGCACCATGAACGGCGGTTGCTTGCTGTCTCCACCCATACGAGCGCCATCCTTTATCACTTCACTTGTATCTTCCGCGACCTTTGTCTTCTCTTCGGACGTCTTCGCTTTTCCCACGTTTCTTGCCATGGCGACGAGTTTCTACGTAGTAATATCCTGGATGACGTCGTCCTTTCTTAGAAATGTTATTCTGAAGTGGCATACAAAACGGCCTCTACCTCCCACTTGTAATACATGAATATTTCATCGTTACATTCTGAGCTTGTTGGTGCTCGCGGTGGGCTCACTCCTCTCAAATGTAGCTCCACTGTACTATGGAGTGATCGCTCATTATCACTCCATAGTACAGTGCGCTTGTACGACTAAGAGTGTGGCCACTCGTGTTGGAATACTCAGAATGATTCGGGTGAAAAGGTGCGTACAACCGGTCTTTGTCGACGTGTTGACAGCATTTTGCAAATGTGGTGCTGCCCTCGTTCCTAGCAAACTGCATTCACTTGCTATCGGCAACAGTCAACATAACTTCCTGCATCCCATTCGTTTCACGTCCAGTGATTGCTGTTTAGTGCAGAAGAAGCATTTACTGACCACTGGTCGTATGAACGGCAAACATCCTTTGCAAATTGATCAACCACGAAAGGCGAAGTTTCCAGGCTACACAATCCACTACTGAAAGCCAAAATGTACCTGCAGTATGGAGGCATACATGATATGGGACATTCCGTGCTTTGCCGGCGGCTAGTCATTCACCAAAGCAGCACAAGCGACATGTACGCTGTCCACTTTACCAGCGCATCTTCACCCAGCTCTTCCTGCATTTCCTCAGTGTCGTCAGTAAGGCTAGGAACATGGATACCATCAATCGTTGGAGTTCAGGGCGATACAGAGTCAAGAGGTCAAAAAAAACCAGACAGAAGTCCAATAGATCGCATGCCATGAGTGAAGTGATCGGCTAATCGGCTACGCCAGCTGGATGTTTCTTGCTGTATTACGTCCTCAACCCAAAAAAAAAAAAAATTTTGAAAAAAAAGGGTGTTTTTTTTTAAAAAAAAAAAAAATTTTTTTTTTTAATTTAAAAATTTTTTTTAAAAGGGGGTACAACCCCCTCATAATAATTAAAAAAAAAAAAAAAAAAAAATAAAAAAAACTTTTTCATAGTCTCAAAAAAAAAAACAAATTTTTATTTTAATCTTAAAAAAATAAAACTTTTTTTTTTTTTTTTTTTTATATTTTTTTTTATTTTTTTTTTTTTTTTTTTTTTTTTTTTTAAAAAAAAAAAAAAAAAGTTTACTTCCCCACCAAACAAAACCAAGGTCTGCCGACCAGTGGCATTTCCTAAATTGCAGCCATCGCCCATTTAGGTGCATGTTCATGACCGTCATTTTGTTTTGGTCAGCAAGATGAACGGTAACGGTCGAACACGATCTACAATGCAATCGTATTCTTTATATGTGCGTCCGGGATTAATCGACAGGATCACGTTGTGTAGAAAGGCACCGACCGAAATTTCGAAGGCAGCTTTTGACCCGGTGTGTGATCTAGTGCAGAGTGCTTTTGGCAACTCGAGTTTGCTTAGACTTTGTATTGCCTATTTCTGATCATGCAAATGACAAAAGCGTATCGTCCGAACCAAACAATAGATTACAAAAAGAAAGGGAGCCGCCAACGAGCCTTCAGTTTTCGCTGATGAGCCTTCATCTCATACATCAAACAAGCAACTGGATTTTAAATTCCCCTAAAGTGTCAAATTGTTTTGTTGTCCGCTTCAGAAATTACGTCCATCGATCTCATTAAATCTACTGTATCGTACTTCTGATCCCCCTTCTTCTTAAAAGAAACATAGAAGGCCTTAATCAGTCAAAGAAGAGCTGTTTACTTCTGTTGACAAAGCTTCTCACGCGCTTGACGAGCTAACACTTCCGGACGGATATATCACAGCAACTAAACACTAACTAAACGTCAACAAAGAGTAAAAACAGCAAGGAAAGTGAGGCTAAAGCAGTAAATCTGCCATGCTCATGCAACGCTGTCCACAACAGACGATTCATTGAGATGGCTGTATCATAGCACTCAAGCACAACTAGAGGGTGAGCAGCATACGACATGTGTATGTATTTTCGTGACCGTCTTTTTACACGTTAATGCTTGAAGATGTCTGACTACGTTCGAACGATAAGCGAAGTGCCGTCGTCGGAGCTTTTCGAAGTGGACCTCTGAAGCGTGAAAGAGACTTGGTGTAGGGTGGGAGGGATTCACCGTAACTAAGCATGCGAGCCTATTTTTTTCAAGTGCTCTCACCCGTTGGAGGGGCTGCACAATGTGGAGCTCCGGAATATGACTGGCTCAGTCTTGACTATGAAAAATTAGAAATTAAAAGCATTAAGAAAATTAAGCAAATCGGCAATTTAAGGGATTTCAAATCCAGTTGCGTGTTTGATGTATGAGATGAACGCTCATCAGTAAAAACTTAAGACTCATTCGCGGCTACTTCAGAAAAAGGTGTTCCTAACTCTTCTACTGCCACGAGGGTTACTGGCCTGTGTTTTATCGATTGGTCAATCAAAATATCCACTTGACCACTTATCCCACTTGACCACTTATCCAGTAAGCGTCCTAGCCACTCGACGAGCATGAAGGTCCGCTCGTCTGTGAAGCGCATGTGCGACGGCTGCAAGATCGTCCGCCGACGGAAGAAAGTTTACGTGATCTGCGACCGCAGCCCCAAGCACAAGCAGCGCCAAGGCTTCCACACGACCGCGTTGGCGCTTCTCAAGGACGCTGTAGTCGCACCCCAGACGGACTTCCAAGCGGCACTTCAGCTGCTGCAGTTCCCTGGCCTTGCTTCGTTCAAGAGCTTCCGTGACGCTGTTATCCAGCTTCCAAAGCTGTAGTAGCCGATACCAGCAATTACGGAGACGGAGGGCGGAGGTCACCTACGGTTGTCTTGCTGCCGCGTGTAACTCGATCCCGAGGAGCGTAGCCATAACTCGCGCGCTAATCCCATTGCGATTCCAACGTAACTGCTAGCGACTCTCTCCATTTCATAACCGTTACTTCAGCACTTAACCTTAACCGATTGAAGCTCACACCTCTCCGCAAAAAGGGGCCACTGGTCCAAGTCTTTTCCCAAAACATGACGCGGTCCCCACAGCTCCGACGCGCATCTTCGCTGTCTGCACTCGCGCTGGTCGCTACCACAATCGAAGGCGAGCGGACCCACGCGCAGTTCTTCCTTCCTGACTCGCCGCCTTCCCAGCAGCAGCAGCAGCAAAGCTCCAGCCGGTACTGCAGCAGCTCGAGGCATTGGGGTTCTCCCAGTTCCGAGCCGAAGACGGGCAAGCTGCCTGGGACAAGCTGCTGACTGGGAGCGCAAGCTTTGACCTCGTGTGGACCACGGCAGCCGCCCCGCCGTTCGCTCAGCTGGAGCTCCCGCACCACTTTGACGCCAAGGTGAACCGTCTGCCAGGCGCGGAGCTGCTCACGTCGCCGGACGCGCTTTCTCACCACGTGGCGGCGCAGCAGAAGAGACACGGCAAGTTCTTCTTTGACTTTGTGCCCGCACACTATGAGCTCCCTCGTGACGCGGAGCAGCTGCCTGGTGCCTACTTGGAGGCACGTCAACAGTCGGACTTGTCGCCCGATCGCGGGCGCGATCCGGAAGTGCAGCAGCGTTTTCGGCTGCGAGAACGTGCTGTAAATGGAGATGACGAGTCGACGACAGGTGCTGAGGTGTTCGTGACCGATGGAGAGTTGCAGCTGAAGCTTGAGTCGACTACGTTCAAGGGGAAGGTAGTGGTCGTGGACAAGTACATTGAGCCGCTGCTGCTCGATGGGCACAAGTTCCGTGCTGGGTTTTATGTGGCAGTCACGTCGACGAACCCGCTCCGTGTGTACGCGTACGATCACCCGCTGATCCAGATCGCCAAGGCCGAGTATCCAAGCAGGTTGGGGGTTGACGCAGACCCGAAGGCCTACACCTTTGACCAGTACATTGCTCCTTGGGACTTTCCGGACCTGCAGGCCGATTTCCATGAACTGCCGTCCGCGAATCGAGAAGGAACGAATGCGTGGCACGTACTGAAACGATATTTGCGGAAACAAGGAATCGACACGAAGCATCTGCAGGATGAGGTGGATTCTGCAATCGCAAAGGCGGTGCTCAGCAGCCGCGGTCATTTACAGAGCGAGCAGGCCAAGGTAAAGCGTGCAGCTGGTCGCGAAGGCGAGAAAAGCAGTCCGTCAGATCTCAGCGACAGCTTTTTTGAATTGTGGAAGTTTAACTTCGAGTTCGATGACGTGGGCAAGCCGTGGCTTGTCCGTGTGGTTTCGAATCCGTCGATGATGGCGACGCCGTCCGTATTTGGTACCGACGAAGCTATCAAGAAGCGACTGTTGCACGACTTGGCTAATCTCGTGGGCGTACATCCTCAAGCGCAGCTTCGGTTTGAAAAGTTTTTTCGCCCTGGTGACGGGGGTGCTTTCTGCTCCGACAAGTGCCGCGACAGGAATCGTGCGTGGGACGCTTCGTGCTGGTCTTGTCCTGGATGGTTTGCATCGAACGTTGCGCGCAGATTGTTCGCTGCATCAACGGAATACGCTCGACGCGGTAGCTTCAACCTCTTGTTTCCGTCGGTGGAGCACGAGTGGTCGAGGTTTATGGACACGCAGCTTTCCGAGTACGACATTGCTTTCGATCGGTATTTGAAGTCGCTCTCGAGTGGATACGCCAACCTGGCAGACTTTCCCGCATCTGATCGCGCTGTCACGTGCGTGTATCGGGAACACTGCAGTAACCATGGCGACTGTGTGAACGGTCTGTGCTCTTGTGACGACAAGTACGAAGGCCGTACGTGCTACGTCCCGAAGGCAACAAACGAGGAACAGCATCATCCGCAGCAAGAGACTGGACGTACATGGAGTCAGGACACCGGTACGTGGATGGAGAAGGTCGAGAGTCTTGTATGGAGCCGCGGCGACGTACCGAAGAGCTCCAATCGACCGATGGCTGGAGGTGGAGACGCTTTTGCGTCCAGCACGGTGCTTCTCGTTGTACTTCTAGGCATCCTGTTGTTTGTGATGTACCGACTCGTGGCATCACGTCGGTCTGAGTCAGGAAGTAGTGACCTTCCCTATGACGGGAAGGCGATGTAGGTCTAGTTTGTAGCCATGTTGCAATCACGCAACACTCAACTTCTAACTGATAGCACGATTGCAGCGATTGTTAACTCCGTCCCATCATCCTGCCTTTGGTCGGACGGAAATGGTCACGACGTCGCTCGTCATGCCGATCGCGTTCCTGGGGCTCCTGAACGAGAACGTGTCGCTCGTGGTCGTGGAGATCGTCACGTACCTCAGCGCCTTCCTCCTCTTGCTCCACGTGCACTCGTCCGGCAAGCGCAATGCCGCGATGTTGATCGCTGCGGTGCTCCAAGTGCTGCTCGTGGAGCTCGTTTTCCACTGCGGCGAGCGCTGGCACGCCCAGTCGCTGGTGATGCTGCTGTCCGGTCGCCTTCCGCTGTACGCTTTGGTGCTCCAGGCCCAGCTCTATTACACGTACGTCAAAGCGCACTGCTACGACTGTACGACGAAGCTGAAGGGGGGAGGGGGTGCTCACGTGGTTTTACTGTGTGCAGAGCGTTCGTTGCGACGTCGCGACTGCGGGTCGATCTGTTCGTCCAGCCACTTGCAATGGGGACGTTCATGGTCATGCTCGTGTTCCCATTCGAGCTGCTGGGCACCAAGTTCCTCTGGTGGACGTGGCATGACACGGATCCGCTCCTTGCTGACCGTGTCATGGGTGTACCGTGCCACGCACTCTTCTACTACTACTTCTTTGCGTGCGCGTTCACTTGTGTGCATCACGTTCTGCGCAGGTACAAAAAGGAGGTCTTGCGGCAAAGCGGTTGTCGAGGATACTACTGATCGTCGTTGTGGTGTCTGGAGCAGGATGTGGGTCACGGGCGACTACTACAAGGACGAACAGTGGATGTCAGAGTGGGGCTACGTTTTACTCATGCCGCTTCTTACCACTCTATTTGCCATGGGTCTCCTGATTCTGGGCTACTATTTGCCTGTTCATCTCACGGGTATCCAAGCACAGGTAAGCTCTTGATACTCTCGGTGAACGAACGAGGAGGACGACGGCTGACGTTGATGATATGTGTGACGGTTGTTGTGATCCAGGTATCCTTCTTCATGCTCATCGGTGTAAGCTTGCTACTCTTCTGGATGGCTGATCGCGAAAGAGGTACTTTTGTAAGCTCATTCGAACAACCTCCTCTACTACCAGCGATCCATGCTCTAATCACAAAACCATGTCTTTCGTTACACAGACTTCCCTGATGTCCAAGAGTCTTTGGACCCTGAGGACGCCTACGACAGTGACTGGCTGTACCCGTGCACCGACCACGCCGTGAACCAGCTGGTGTTCCTGCTCTACTTTGTCCTCGTGCTGCTCGTGCTGTTCATCAGCCCCACGGAGATCGTGTCGATGGGTCACCACCAGCCACTAGGCCACTGCATGGAGAGCGAATCGTTCACCAGCCTCATTGGCACGCGACACACGCGCAAGAAGCACCTGTGCGCACACGACTTCGACGAGGACTTTAATCTGTGCAACTACCCCGTGTCGCAACTGCTGTACGAGGGGTCGTGGTACATGATCTGCGGACGCGGCTACGACAGCTTCGCGACGCACGTGGCTCTCATTGCGTGCAGCTTCGTAGGGCTCAATCTCCTCTTCTACCAAGTGCTCAAGCGCCCGCAGCGCGTGTCTTTTCGCCGTCCATGAAAAAAAGTATCTTGACGTTGTTTACGCGACGGCTGCTGTGCTTGACCTCCCGGCAGCCACTGATTGGTTGATATCGTGACTGTTTCAATTTGCACCACTCGCTGTCCACGCAAGCGTGTTCAGTCTCAATCTCGCCGTCTGATTGGACCATTTTCCCAGCTCCTCGTCCTCCTCATGTAAGTGGCCACGTCCGTCGCTGCTGCTTGGCCGCGACTGACTGTTCCGTCGCTTTGCTGCTGTGGCAGAGACCCGATCGCGTCCAGAATGGCTCACCAGATGCTCATGGAGACGCAGCAGGAGCTGCGGCGTCTGCCTGGCAACAACGTACGTCTCGTGTGGGAGAACTTCCGACCTTTGCCGACTCTGTCGCTCACCCCGATGTGCCGTCTCTGTAGCGCTGTGTCGACTGTGACGCCCCGTACCCCCAGTGGGCCACCGTCTCGTACGGCACCTTCATGTGTCTCGAGTGCTCGGGTCGCCATCGCGGGTTAGGTGTCCACATTTCCTTCGTGCGGTCGGTCACGATGGACTCGTGGACGGACAAGCAGGTGATGCAGATGCAGAAAGGGGGCAACGACTCGTTTCGTAAGGCTCTCTCGGCTGCTGGCGTCCCGTCGGATCTCTCGATCAGTGAGAAGTACAACACGCCACAAGCAGAAGTGTATCGCCAACGGCTGACGGCGATTGTCGAGGGACGAGCGCCGCCGTCGCTGCCTCAGTGGGACCCGAGCACGCGCCAACCATCTACTTCCTCCTTCTCATCTGCTTCGTATGCTGGTGGAGGGTCGGCGGGAGGCGATACACGTGGTGTGGAAGCACTCAAAGGCGAGTCCGAGCAGGACTACGTTGCTCGTCAGGTACAGCTGCGTGAAGAAGCGCGGGCCCGCATGGCTGCCAAGTTTGGCAGCAATGGTATGCAGGGCATCGGAAGTGGCGGTGAAACGCGGGTGCCTCAAGCTCCGTCTTCTGGTCTCGGAGACCTCTCGGGTGCCTTTGGTTACCTGACCAGCACAGTGACGACAGTCGCTAGTTCGGCTGCCAATCTTGTGAAGGACCAAGACTTGGGATCCAAAGTGTCGTCCGGGTGGTCGTTCGTGCAGAACGCAATCCACGATCCGGCACTTACGGAGAACGTCAAGTCCTCTGCTTCGTCTGGCTGGTCCGTGCTGTCTAGTGGTGCATCTGCGCTGATACAGACCGCCCAGACTGCAGTTAATGGTGGAAGTGGGTATGCCAATAACAACGCAGCTGGAATGAACAGCGCCTTCCCTCGCACCAACGCTGATCTATCGACCTCTGGTAAGTATGCAGGTGTTGGCAGCAGCAGCAGCAGCGGCGTAAGCTCGTCAAGTCGCGATCACGATAACGACTCGTGGTTGGACTCGCAGCTTGGCAGTAGCGATTTCAACACCCACAGCGGCAGTTCTCACACAACGACGCAGCAGACAAAATCGACTTCGACGCCCAATGTGTTCGGATCCTCATCGTTCAGCAGCAATGATGGCAGCCACGACCTGCTTGGTCTCTCTGCTTTGCCAACTACCCCAGCCACAAGCAGCAATGGATCAGCTGCTGCTCCTGCTGCAGCCGTTGCAAAGGAGACAAAACCCAAAAAGGATGTCGATTTCTTCGGCGAGTTTGGCTTCTAGTAGTCGGCGAGTGGCGTGGGAGGAGGCAGACGTTACAGGTTGCACGATTATACAAGTTTGTAGCGGGTCGCGATTTCGCGTCAATGCATGTCATGTCCAATGCTTTTGCTCTTTGAGTCGATTGAGAAAGTAGAGGAGAGGCCTCGTGTAGATGAACACCAAAGCTTCTGTGCTCACTACCAATGCCGTTTGTCGCGCTGATGATGTTGGCCATTCTTCGGATGACGAGGATGTGGATGCAACTAGCTCCACTCAATCGCTTTGATCCATGGCAAAAGGGTAGCTATGGTTGACTGCGTTTTCCATCCATTGTTGCTACGATAAAGACGAAGGACGGAGCCATTGAGCAGACGTCTGTTGTTAGTTGTCTCTCGAGTTTGATAGTTACGCCCTTCCTACTGTCAGTCTTGTCCCTCTTCATCCGCTCTAGCACACGACGGTACTTACTGCCAGTGGTCGTGACACAGCGAGAGCTAAGCCCTCACCCTGATATCCGTCATAGTGCGAGGTCCCAGACATCAGATCGAGCGAGATACGATGCTGGTGTCCCATCTAGTCATCTCCGAACTTCGTGTAAGCCGTGCTTTACAGCGTGCGAGCCACCGTGCGCTTGGCAGCGGCAACAATGTCATCGACTTGGGGAAGGCACAACTTTTCCAAGTTATCAGCGTACGGCATGGGCACGTCCGTTCCCGTCACGCGCTCCAGAGGTGCGTCTAGGTAGTCAAAAGCCTCAGTCTCCATGACGATACCAGCGATCTCAGCGCCAATACCATGCTGGCCCCATCCTTCTTCAATGGACACCATGCGGTTGGTCTTCTTCACAGAGTCAATGATAGCTTGGCGATCGAACGGGCGAATGGAGCGGAGGTTGATCACTTCGGCGTCAATGCCCTCCTTGGCCAAAATAGAAGCAGCTTCAAGCGCTTCACCCACCATGCGAGAAAAAGCGACAAGGGTCACGTCCTTGCCTGGCTTCATGATTTTCGCCTTCCCAATCTCGATCGTAAAGTCCTTGTCCTGCGCCTCTTTGGACACGGGGAACGTGACACCGTACAAAAGCTCGTTCTCCAGCACTACTACAGGGTTGGGGTCACGGATAGCAGCCTTCAGCAGACCACGGGCGTCCTCCGAGTCGTACGGACAGACTACCTTAAGACCGGGCACGCTGCCGTACCACGCAGCATAGCACTGCGAGTGTTGGGCCGCTAAAGAGACCCCGCATCACCACATTCCCAAGCACGTCAGCGTCACCTATTGGTCCAAAGCATCAAGTAATTGAAGGCAACATCAATGACAGGTCCACGTACCCACTCCCGCAGCAGGTCCGTTCGAGCCTCGAAAGACAATGGGTACACTAATGTCCCCGTTCGACATGTAAAACTGCTTGGCAGCCGAGTTGATAATCTGGTCAATAGCTTGCATGGCAAAGTTGAACGTCATAAACTCGACAATGGGCTTCGTGCCGTGGTAAGCGGCGCCCACAGCGAGGCCGGTGAAGCCTTGCTCCGTGATGGGCGTGTCGATGATGCGCTTGTCGCCGTACTTCTCCCAGAGCCCCTTCGAGACCTTGTACGCGCCATTGTACTCGGCCACTTCTTCGCCCAGGAGAAACACTCGGTCGTCGCGCGCGAGCTCCTCGTCCAGGGCCGTGTTCAGCGCGTCTCGCACCGTCATGTCGTCGGCTACTGAGGCCATGGAGCGACGGAGGACGCAGTTCATGGCGGCCGTCAGGGGGTTGCGGGTAATCAGGACGCGACGGAGCGCCATCTCTCTTGAGTCTGCGAAGGGGGAGGGGCGGCAATCGGTAGTAAAAGCACGAGGGGGTCGAACGCGTCCTCGGCCACACACTGGGACGCAACTCGCTGACTGTCAGGGAGGGAGCTCTCGGACCAGCAGTTGAGCGAGAGTTGCTCGATGGTGTGGAGCACGCGATTTTTTTTAAGGGTCTTTCGTTGCGCAACATAAGGTGGGTCACCCAGCACCGATAGAGCGCTAGTGGAGTGTCCGAACAAGTGTCTCGTTGTCGGGTCGAGCACTCGGCGGTTGGATGGATTGTGGTGCGTGTAGGTGAACGACCGATGGAAAATAGAAACTGTTGAAAGCGACGATAGCGAGACGGACTATTTCATCAAATCTAGTACATCTATTTTTAGCAGCACTGGTAGCAGCATCCCGACCCGTGCTGTTTACAGATGATAGAGACACTGTTGTCAGGAAGGTAGATGGTCCAAAAAAGACAAGTAGAAAATGGTATCTAGATCTCCGTGCGTATCGCCGTGACCGTCACGTTCATTCATTTGTGCTACTTACCAGTTTAGTCGACCCATCGATCAAAGAGAATGGAGATCAAAGCGCATCAAATGTAAGCAGTTGTAACAGCTTCTGATTAGGGGTGGTAGGCGGTGTACTCGACACTAGCACCTGCTGCTGATACAGTGCAATAGTTGCAGTCAAGTATGTGACTAGGACGTGAAGGAGTTGGCGGCACGATACCGTTTTCTGCTGGACTACCGCAGTCTCGCACGCAGATCTCGCCATGCCAGTTCCTCAAGTTGAAGCCGTTAGAATCCATTGCTCAAGAACGGGTGATGCCTGGATTGATGTACTGCGAAGCGACGTGGACGGCTCGCGCTTTCTCCCAACGGCTGCACCAAAGTCTTGACCTTTCAATAGCGTCGAGTTTGGCTTGCAAAGTCAAAGACATGTCCCTCGCGCTGCTGCTTGGGACGATGGAACGGGGTTTGATAAGCACCGCGGAGACCGAGAGGAGCTTCATATCTCGTTTTGCCGTCTCAGTCACACAAGCCAAAACCACTTGATCGACTGCGAACTTGACTGCGATGGATACTGTGAACAAGATGATGTCGAGCGCGCACAGTCATGGCCAGGATTCGTGCTCCAAGGACCCGGCTGGCTGCATGCGTGCCGTCGTGTGGACGGGCAAGTCGGTGAAGCTGGAACACGTTTCCAAGCCGAAGATCATGGAAGCATCCGATGTGGTGGTGAAGGTCACTGCTTGCTCGGTGAGTCCGGACTTCGCCACGGATGTGATTGGAAACACTGCGGGGTTGGAGAAGAATCAGGTGCTGGGTAGTGAAGCTGTTGGTATCGTCGACAGCGTTGGCGCCGAGGTGCAGAAATTGAAGGAGGGTGACCGCGTTGCCATCAGCTTTGTGCTTGCTTGTGGAAAGTGCAAGCATTGCCGTCGAGAGGAGTATGCGGCGTGCAATTGCACGAACGCGTCGCAGGAGTTCAAGCAGACCTACGGCGGTTGGGCTCCGGCAGCTGTACTCGGGAGCAGCCGGATGCTGGGAAACGTTCCGGGTGTGCAGGCTGAGTTTGTCCGGGTACCATACGGGGACGTGAACTGCTTCAAGCTGCCTTCGGGTGTGTCCGATGATAAGGCCGTCCTAGGGGTGGAGACGACGGCAACGGCTCTCCATGCTGTTGACTCGGCCGCCGTGAAAGAGGGTGACCATGTGGTCATTTGGGGCCTTGGTCCCATTGGACTGCAAGCGGCTCACTGGAGCAAGCTGCGCGGTGCGAAGAAGGTGGTGGGCATTGAACAAAACCCGGAACGACTGAAGTTTGCTCATGATCACATGAATCTGGAAGTGGTCGACCGTCAAGACTTGAGCAGCGCCCAAGTGGTGGAGAAGTTGCACCAAATGCTTCCGCCTGCTGGTGCCGATGCGGTGATTGACGCTAGTGGCAGCGCGACATCGGGTGGATTTTTGGCCAAGCTGGAGAAGTCGATGGGGATGGAGAAACAGCCAGAACCCACGGATACGCTGAAAGAGATGATGATGATCGTGCGAAAGTGCGGCCACGTCTCAATTGTGTCGGACTACCAGCGCTCTATTGGATCGTTCCCGATCGGTCATGTCGCGATGAAGAGTGTGACTGTTCACGCTGGACGAACGCCGGCGCAGAAGTACTATCCTCAGGTGTTCGACGCGATTGAAAGCGGCGAGCTGGACCCGTCGGTGCTAATTTCGCACCACTTGGCTCTTGAAGAGGTGCCTGAAGCGTATTCCCGTATCGCCAAGAAGGACAGCGGATTCTTGAAGGTATTTGTGGCGCCGCACGAAATGCGCGCGAAGTCGTAAAGAAGTTCCGCTTGCTAACTTTACCAGGGAGAGACGTCGAGCCTCCAGCAGGAGATGATGACCGAGGACATGCTGAGCCTGGGAAGTGGTGAAGTTAGTCGAATGGGATTCTCGCACTACTCTGCATATTGCTAATATTTCGTCCTGATGAGACGTTTTGATGAAACTTTCCTTTCAACTGTCTTGATGAGCGGTAGATGCCTTTGATTGCAGCGTAACAACCGCGCAAAGTTCACTGCGAAAGTTGCTATACAAACCAGACTGGAGTCCACCCGAAGTCTTCCTTCAAGGTCACAGCGTATAAGTTCCGAAGCAACGATACGCGTACTCCTCTTCTATGCACTATCCGGTGGTAATCCCGCATGGTTTGCAGAAACAGTGCTGAATCGGTTGACTGATGAGCAAAAGTAAACAAAACCTGTAGCAATCCTGTAATGGTCGACTTGTTGTGTGGGACGAGGAGATGCGGTCGCCCTGTGGTACTACCGTAGGGTGATATGTGGGCCAACAAGACAGATGCCACTTGCAACTTGACATGGTCTAGTTGTAGTTCTCTTGGAAATGCTGTTGCGTGTGGACGAGCGAGCGAGAGTAGTTGACGCTAATTAGATTTTACTTGCCTTTACCTCCATTGCATCTAGTAGAATGTATTCTCATTCTTCACAACTTTAGAATGATGTTGTACAGAGTGCGGTGCTGGTGTTCGGCCGTGCTATCAAATGATGCAAATTGTGACATCTGAGACGAGTCAGAGGAGGTTTAGAGGACCAGCCATAACTGTGCTTGCGACGGGTGGGCCCTCTACATGATATTTACCTACAATCAATATTGATAAAATAAATACCTTTTTTTGAAATATCTTTTCACCAAAGAATATCCTCGTGCGGTTGGCTGCGCTCTGCTCATTGCTTTTTTTGGCCCATGATACTAACTAATATGGTCGAGCAACAAGAGACACACTCAAAGAGGAGTGGGCAGTGAGCTAACTCTCTCTGATTTAACCGACCCTTTTCACAGAACGTGCCATAACAAGCTTGGTTTTTAGGTGCAGTGGTCAGTGTTGATCGCGGAGCTTTCTCGTATCCGTAAGCCAAGGAAAACAGTTCAAAACCCGTCATTTACAGGACCTTTTACACTGACGTCGGTTGCAAAGCGTTTAAACCACCGATCGTCAAATGTGAGGGCTTAAACAACAGCTTATTAAATGCGATCAGCACAATTTGTGCCCGTGGTGCTAAATCGCCTTGATAATTCCTTAATGCAGCTTGGAAAAGACGCATCTTTTAGCACCAATCTCACTTGTTGCACACGCAGCAAATCGAGGACCTAGCCTAACACTAACTTCACTTTTCATTTTACCTTCTTCAGGCTTCTACAGCTCACAATACCTTTGGCTGTCTCACAAAAAAACATACCACAGACATCTAGATTCAGTCGATCGCGGCTCAACAATTGCATTGTTGCGAGCCCGATGGGTGAAACTATTAGTGACTGTGCGCAAGGTTGAATGCCGAACGTTTAAATCGCACTTGTTTGTGTGTGCGTGCGTGTCTGTAAAAAATCGCGGTCAGGTGTACCTTACCCGTACTTAGTGCAATCTAGTCTGTCCCCTTTTCATAGGTACACAGGTACATACATAGTCACTCTTTGGCTAGATCACTAGTAGGACGCACGCTTGTATGAGGGTTGAAATCGTTTAAAGGCGAACATGATCAAAAAAGCAAACGCCGGACGATCATAAGCAAAGGCCGATCGCGTTGCATAAGTCTACTAACTAGGTCAAAACAGACAGTAACAGCATCGTACTCACCGTTCAGCATCTGCCGATGCATAGGTTTTTTGCAACTTGACTCAGTTCTCCGATCTGAGTTACTTGTATCAAAGGGCGAGCTCCAGAGCTCGCTCCTTGATTCTATAAGTGGTGACTCATCGGAAAACACGAAAAAGAATTTAAACAAAGGAAGTGGAGACCAAATTTCTGTATGTATATTGGATTTAAAAGAAAGAGCGTTTGGCATCGGTCACGTCTCGTGTATGCCGGGGTCACGATGCACTTATATCAGCAGTCCTCTGTTTCTCCGAATCACTTTTATTTGATTAATTTAGAATACGGGTCGAAGAAATGACTTTTTGTTAGCGGCTGTAAGGGGAAAGGCCCGATAAAAAAGTTGCCGAGTATAAACTGAGTACCGGGTAGCTTAGACATTATGCGGCATAACGTTATCTAGTTTTAATTAAAATCGTTTTAGTTTTATAAAAAAGCGAAATCGATTTAGTAATAGTTTTTGATCTCACCAATTTAATTGTTTTGCTATAGTTTTACTGAGCAGAGAAGGAGTGGATCTTACCAGAAAGGAAGTGCAATCTCCCTTATAGAACAGCTAATGATTATATAACGAGCACTTTCATTCAAACGTTGGTACACACTACTTTGTAGGTTTAGTGCGATAAGCACTGATCCATCCTCGTGCTAATATTGTAGAAGCTTGGTGATCCTGCAAAAGCCCAGAATTACGGGTTTTAAATTCAGCGAAACGGTCGAAAATCCTCCTTTGATTGACTACCTCTCCTCTCTCGTATCCTCCAGTACACAATTGTACATACATCACGCTTTTACATCGTGCTCATAAATACCATTCATCGCTCAGCCACAAAACACTGTGTCTGCAAGAGTTATTCGTTATGCGTCATGGTGCACCATTAACGATCGAGTTTAGCGCTGCATGGCAAGCATTTTGGCGGCGGGGAAGCACAGTCGAGGCTAGAATGTGATTTTGTGGGCGTGTTATTGCTGTCGCATAGAATACAAAGGTATTGAACACAAGAGACTGATTGCTGCGGGTGAGTCATGGGTCGTGTTATGAAGCTGCGACCTGCATTGCTGTCGGCCTTTTCTTCAGTAGTCGATCAGATCGATGTGGCGCTGGCGGCAGACAAAGGTCGAGAAAGCGTCAACGAATTGCAGGTATTGATACAGATAATATAACGCATGTCGTATTGAGAAGTCGTACGTGTGTGTGTCAGGTGTGATGGTGTGGCCGCCGATGAGACATAAACTACGGCTGTCTGAGCATGTTTACGGTCCAACCACCAGTCTCAGCGAAGACCGTGGGGCGAACGTTGTAAGGACGATGGGGGTGGAGCTTTCGACGGGCTTGGCGGTCAAGAGCAGTGAAGAAAGTGGATGCAAACTATTTGCTCTAAGATGAAGCGTGCATAAATGGATAATGTGCTTCGTGCATTCACGTCGCTAATCACCTTGTCAGGATAGTTTACTCGCTAGCGTAGCCTTTGACAGCTTTAGCCATGAGGTCCAGGCTAACTTCGATAGCGCTTTTCTCACTCTGAGAAGGAAGTAAAGCAGTTGCTCTTAGCTCTTGCTTCAGCATTCGCATGTCGAAGGGCCAATGCAACGCTAAGTCGTGCAACGTCATTGCGTTGTTCATTCACAAGATGTTTATGTCGCAAATGCGGAGACCTAGAGGCGATCGAAGGATCAGCAGATCATTCGTGCGATAGTCTGCACGAGGCCAAGCTAATGACCGAGCGCTCGCACGATCGCACCGCTGAACTCTATCATTAATACTGTATTGTGACGCATGACAATCACCTCACGTCGACACAGTGTTGTCTGTGCCTGGGCGATGGGTAGAATCGCATACAATTGTGTACTGGAGGACCCATGAGTGGAGGGGTAGTCGATCACAGGAGGATGTTTAGGCCTGCCTGTCATCAGCGGATCCAGCATGTGATGACGTGTCTTACCCGCTTGATCGTTGAGACCTATACCCAACCGTTTGTCATCGGTCGATAGGATGCACTGGCTGCTCTACGCACACGATGGGAAGGGCTACACGCTTTCGTGGCTGGATACTTATCTAAACGTGCCAAGGGCCTGTCTCCAATGAGACGTCATCGTCAGATCACGTGTCATTGAATCCATCAGTGGGACAACGCAATGCTGTGAGACATCCACTTTCTGTTCGGGACTACTTCAGAGTCTACATTTGCTTGCATACTGGCTCCACTATTGCGTTTGCATACTGGCTCCACTATTGCGCTTTCTTGGCTAGAGTGAATCATGTTACAAAAGGTATGATCGTCTTTGAGTGTTTTCCCAGTGATACTCACTGCTTGGTCGGGTTAAGCCCGTCGATCGTTCGGCTGGAAAAGTGCCACTATGAGTCAAGGCACAACCTGCATTAAATGCGTGACCCCGTGGTCGAAGGGTGGAGCGGTAAAGATACAGCTCTTTGGCCAGCCTTTAGTTCGGCCGTGCTTGTGACTTTGTAGAAATTTGGATCGTCCGCCGACCAGAAGGTTACGATGAAGCGCCTGTCTCCAGGCACCTCGACCGTGCGATCTCGTCGCTGATTGAACACTTGCGAGATACGTGCGAAGATCCTTAGACACAGCAGATGGACTGCATCAATTTCATTGAGCTCGACCTGATCTTGATTACGCCCTACCCCATCGTGGGTACAGGGCCCGGAGACGACGACGTCGTTAGCAAATCGAGTGGCGACCGCCTCAGCTCTGCCGCTGAAAGAAATTGCGACGCAATTCTCTCACTTTCCAATTCACCGGCTAGCAGCAACATGCGCATCCGTTGCATTGTGTTTGCGGTCTCCAGCTCATTTCTTCGCGGAAGCGCCGAGTCGATGGTCGACGGAGATCGACCTGATGTCGTTGCTATCGACCAAAGCACGCTTCCACGTCTCAACACTGACGCATCGGATGGTCCAGGGCTGCTAAGGACATTCAACAAGACAGTGAACACGACCGCGGCTGTCACCCCAAGACCTTTGGACGACTCGGCTGTCGATGAGACCACTCTCGAAGAGCAGCAAAGTGAGAGGTGGGCGTCTTTGGACGGCGCGATGGGCCGTTTACGTGACTCGCTGTACCTCCTGCAAAAACGGTCGCCCGGCAAACGTTTCCAAGACATGTTTGGCGGTCGTCGAAAAGCTTTCACTCCTGGCGCCTTCAACGACTGGCTAAAGTATGTTGCCAAGTTCCGAGCTCGACATGGCGAGTACTCTGACGAAGACATTTTCCAGATGGTATGGGAACGCGTACCAAAAGCCGACCGAAAGAAACTGCTTCAGCAGCTTAAACAAACTGATGTCGGACAGGATCATACCCTCTTGCAGCAATGGCTCAGTAGCTCACTCAAACCCCAGTCTGACGTCGTGGTCAACTATTGGAAAAGCCAGAGATACAGCCCTAAGTCTGTGCTCAACGGCCTCGATATCGATTTCTTTGCTGAGCCGGAACTTGCGATCCACTGGCTAAGGTTCAACGAAGAAGTCGGACTGACGCACCCTGGCGGCGTTGTTTCCTTCGACGATATTGCGATATATATGGAAACGCACGTTGGACGGTCTCACGATGCCGGAGCTAATCCTCACGCACTCGCATCAAATCTACTCGTACCATCTCCTTTGAGCGACGACGGATTTTTCGACCTCGTGAAAAAAGCTCACACGAAGGGGAAGGACAACCTCGACGAAATCGCCAAACGGTTAGAAGATACTTACACTCGATTAAGGGACGAACCTAAGCACGCGAAGTACTCCTGGCAGCCTTCTCCGGCAGTGACTTGAAGACAAGGCGGTATACGCAGGTAAAGCATTGCCTGGTACCGGCGTCAGCGTAGATAATGTGCATATTGTAGGAAGCTAAAGCGAGGAGATAGAAGAGGTAGAGAAACTGAGCTCGCTCATCGGCAGCTGCTATCGAGCTTGGCGCGTCTAGACCTTAATAAATACAAACATGGTTGAGTTTCTAGCGTGTTCAATGCCACATCGCACTTGGTACGACGTGTAAGGTACACCTGGCGTTTATTTGTAGACACATGCAAAGGAGACGACAGACTACATCGCACCTAATACGGCGAGTAAGGTACATCTAGCGTTACTCGTAGACGCATTGAGGGCTAGACAAGATCGCACTTGGTACGGCACGTAAGGTACACCTGGCGCTATTCACACACAAAGGGTTGTCAGACTAAATCGTACTTGATACGTCGTGTAAGGTACGTAGCGTTTTGCAGACACACACGCAAATAAGTGCGATCTAAAAAGTTCGGCTATCACCTTGCGCAGAGTCACAATATGCTTCACCCTTCGGGCATGCAATTAAGGTGCGCACGGTACTCCGAAGTTGTTTAGGACATTCAGACACGAAAAGAGTAGCCACCGGGATGTCCGGCTGGCATCTTAGCAATGCGCACAAAATGCTTCGACCTTCGGGCTCGAAATCGTTTGTAATAAAGAACACCGCTAATCTTTTGTAGAGTAAAGTTTGCACATATGCCAACGAGACAGTCTGTTCTTCGATCTTCTCATAAGTGCAGCGCCGCTCATCTCCAAAAATTTTAGACAGAACCAACGTGTCTATTGAACCTACAATGGCCGCAAGATCTCTGATGTATTGTCCTAAGCATGTTAAGCAACGCCGCTTTAACATGCGAGCCGGCTTTGTCACCTTGTGGGACACATTCCGTGACGCTGCCTTCGATGGTGACGTCCACATGCAACATAACTCGATTTCGTTGCTTGCACAGTTTAGTGTTACGACTACTTCTCGGTACGTATGCAGTCGCTCCTTGCGTGTTCGTATCTTTTACTTCGTGAGGGTGGTCAAGAAGTAAAGTTTGTTCAAGAAATTGGGCAAGTATCATCGGTGCTTGTCGGTTTGAATTTTTTGACAAGAATTAATATGAACTCGCATTAACTCATAGCGTTCTCCCGTTAAAGGGCATCTGGGATTCTCCCTGCAGCAGGTCTGCACACACGCATGTCGAAACGTTGTGGTACATCCCTACTTCACACCACAGCAGCAGCAGCATACCTTTCAATAATTAATGTCACCTTCTATCCAGGCTATCATGTATTTTTAGATGCCGCTGTACCACGCAACGTGTGGACCCGCGACGGAACTTTGTGACCTCGTTGCCTGCTCCCGTAGTGTTGCTACAATATGTGGAAACGCTGCGTTCTGCCAGGCACTGTCTTTATCTGTGTCCCAAAGCCCCGCCAAATTTTGCGGCAGCGCGCCCGTCGAACCTGTACCAACACGTCGATGGCCTTTTTGAAAACGAAGAAAGCGTGATTTCGCTATCGGCTTGTACACGCGTCAGGGAAATCCGTTGATGAACGAATTGCTGCGCATAGCGTTATACAACCTCACATCTACTCTCTGTCTGAGAGTGTTGCAGGTGGCCGCAATCTGGTGGATCTGTATGTTGATTGCGGTCGTCCTTCAATGAAATTCATGTCTTGTTTTTTTTCTTTGAACAATGACAATCTACTGATCGCGGCCCGACTCCACCAGGCCATTGTGAGGGTTTCCAGGCTAAGAGATAAATCAGCTGGGCCGGGTGGCGCTCTAGCAGACTATGTCGGACTTAGAGTGTTTAGTCAACGCGTAATCACAGTGCGCTAATGCTAACATCTAGTCAGCGGCGATACGACTCGGCTTGTTGATGCCTGTTCGCTTCTATCATCAGACTAAAAGAAATTATGTCTGGATCTCAATGCAATGCAGTCGCACTCATGCGTCAACAGCGAGCGGTCCCATCTAGTCAAAAGTTTTCCATAATGTTCAGGTGCCTTGCCGGTGATCACAATCCATGGGCTCAATGGCTCAAAAGTACGTAACTTCTCCTCACGCGTTATCACACGAGAGGAGATAGGGAGGGACTTGTAAACTCCAGCACTCCTTCTAATGGTGTAAACAGATGATTGCTTGGTGGCAGGCTTACGTGCTTTGCAGCCTACTGTGGCTTCCGTCCTTTCAAATCCAGAAGTTCGGTTGGGTTTGTGCTGTCGTGACCCTGCATCGATGGCCTTGACGGTCACGAAACCTTACTTCTAAGTAGCCATTGATGCACCGTCACGCATGTACCTCCTTACTGAACACTATTTGCAGCGACCGTTGAGGTGCAGCACAGCGTTGTGCTGTTCATATTTAATCACACTGTAGACGTGATGTTTAGCGTATTCTGATGCATGTATTATGGTAAAATACCGTTATTTAGAGACTTCTATCGACGGCGGTGGCGCTATCGATGTAAGTTTCGATCGTACTCCCTCCTGGTTGAGCATCTGAAAAATTGCCCGAAAAAGTTCCTACATTACGGAATAAATACGCATCTCTGGCCATAAGATCGACTCCACTTGCAAACGAAAAATTTGCTGTGGTAAATATTTGTGACGGTAGTCAACGGTCGAGTGTTTTGACTTCCAACAATTCGTGCTATACCAGCCAAAGGATATCAGCGACGTGAATCAAGAAAGCTATACTGCACCGTGATATCTTACGCGTTTGATACTTCATCCCGCACAAGGCTTGAAGTTGGCCTCACCAGAACATCTTCGCTGTATTTTTATAATAGGGTACCTAAACTCTTGTACTTCTAATGGACTGGCTGACCTTTTCGACAATACATGAGCGAGAGCGTTTACCATTTGCGCATCTCTTCAGCGTCTCAATTAACAATGTACGTTCAGATCGTCTTGATGCGTCTGTAGCAGCTTGCAATTTTCCGATTGCAATCCCTCGCTTTTCTGTTTCTTCGTCGGTCTTCGATCTTCTTCTCGTGATGAAAGAGGCCGACGTCCATTTCACGCGTCACTTTTTTGATTCAGCGCCACAATGATCACGCTAATGTTATCGTGGGCGAAGTATGCTTGCGCTTTGAGCACAAGCTCTTGCGCTGCTAGCTGGACGTCACCGTGGGTCTGAAGTTTCCGCAATACAAAATTCACAGATTGCTGCGAAGTGAGAACGTCAAACAGTCCGTCACTTGCGAGCAGCAAGAACTGGTCCGATGGGTCCACGACGTGCTCACTCACATCAGGAGTCACAACTAGATGACCATCCTGTTTGTGCGCCAGGTCGCCGAAGCCGCGCGAGATTTGAAGAATGCCGTCCAGACGGCCGTTGTGCACGAACCCACCTGCTGCCTCAATTCGCGCTCGTTCAGCCGGTAAAGATGCTCTGTGGTCCGTCGTCAAGTCGACTGCTACAGCGTCTGCGGTGCACAAAACAGCACGGCAGTCACCCACGTTGGCCACATAAAGTATAGTGGGCTGGTCCCCATCTTTCTCCACTTCATTGTCATCTTCCTCACTGGCTTTGCTTACAGCTTCCGCGTCATTTTCCTTAGCCCCACAAGCACGTCGACGCTTCTTGCGTCGCTTCGCCACCACAGCTAAAACACCTGCAGCTCCAGAGAACGAAATCGGTTGCAGCAAGGCTTTCATCTCGTCTCCACACACAACTTTGCCGTCAATCTCGCAGCACTCGTCTCCCACCATTCTTGATTCGGTGACTTCGCCCCTAAGATATCGTTGCAGTTCCTCGGCTGCCATTGTACGTTTGCGTTTAGGGAGTACGCTCTGGTTCTGTTGTTCTAAGATTTCATTGTCCACTGCCTCACACACTGACGAGATGCAAGATAAAGGGGACTCGACAAAACTAGCGCCTTCAGCAAAGAATCGATGGTGCAACTCATTTTGCAATTTCACAGCCGTATCGGTGCCATTGTGACCGTCATGTACCGCGAAAAATGCCAGTGAGGCGTAATTGTTCGCAAGCGCAGCTGGGTACCGAGACAGGTCACAAGTCGTCTGACCGATACTGCGGTCTTCCATGTATGATCGAGCCCCTTTCGCCTCTGCGTAACCTGACCGAATCTCGAGCGTAAGATTTTCACGAATTTTGCTGCTCACGTAAACCTGCACAATATCCATCGGCGGTACGCATACGGGCGTAGATGCGGCCATCGGAGCCGAGGTATCTGATCCCGGCGACCTGAAAGCAAGAATGTCGTCGCAGTTGTCTACATCCGATGACTCGATCACGGACGTTGCTGCGTGTCGAGTCAAGGCGATGGGCGCAATTTCCTCGTCATCTTGACCAATCGTATCGAGCTGGTTGGGTGTCGCAATAAGATCGCTAAAAGTTGCGTCGACGTCCACATCGCACTCCACATCCGAGTAATCGGAACCATCCGAGTCACTACTTGCGTCAGAAAGACTTTCCATACCAGCGCTGTGACTGTGATTGTGACTGCTGCTTGCACGACTGCTAACACTTGCGCGGTGGCGAAATTGTCGCGACGAAGAATCACTGCCATTGCGTGAAGTCCCGCCATTCACAATACCATCGTCGTCCTCATCGTCGATCTCCATTACCTGGACGCAGTCAATGCCTTCCATATCAAACTCTTCCACGTTGCTGTCTTCCGTAGCTACAGACGGTAACGAACTGCTGACTGAGCTAGCACTTCCGTTCAAGGAATGACGACTTACACTGCGTCTGGTTAGCACACTACCTATTGCACTTCCCATCGCACTTCCCAATGCACTTCCCATTGCACTCCCCAACGCACTGCCACTTCCTGTGCTGCCCAATTTACTAGCACTTCCTATTTTTCCGGCACTTCCCATTTTTTTAGGCTTTTGACTCAAGGATGATGAGCTTGTTGAGCCTGCACGGCCAGGTGGAAGCAACTCGCGCCCTGAGTTTGAGTGAGTCGGTACCCGCGAAGCCACGGAAAAGTCGTCGTCACGTGCCTGGAAAAGAATCTTACGGGTCTGATAGTCGCCCCCCTCGTCACGAAACACTTCTGATGTAACCATGAGGAAATCTCTCTTACGCGAAAGCGACCGCTTCATCAAGTCAGCATCCGACGATCCAGTAGTAGACAGATCGTTGCTTATGCGCCCAGTGCTTCCTGATACACAAGACGACGACAAGCTTTCTCGCTGGTCTACATTGTCTTCGACAGGGATAGCTGCAAATTCGGACAGCTGTGACACTGACGTAAACGACGTACGCCCAAAGCCTTCCAGATTGCCTGAATCCTTGCACATTCGACTCTGGAAACTGTTCTTTTTCACCAATAAAGAGTTGTCTACGGACGCACTTCGTCCAGATGGAAATTGACGTGTCCTAGGTGAGTCAAAGGAAGACGTGTCGCGGTCCCCACCAGGAATTGACGAAACAGATGACGATGACGACAGAACAGACTGTTCATTTACTTGCCGAAGTGACGTGGACGACGACACACTTGGGTAGCGGCTGCGAGCAGTAGGTTTCGCCGCCGGGAGAATAATCTCCGTCACCTTAGCCCGAGCCGCCGAAAATGCCATGCGCTTCTGCTCAATCAACAATTCGCGGGAGCGCTCCGACAGCTCTTTGTGACCATCCATCAGCTGCACACGTTTGTGGTGGCGCCACGCACAAATTATATGCGATACTTCATCATTTGATGCGCGACTCGCACTTGTCGACGAAGTGCTACCAACTGTGGCCACGGACGATGTATTCGACGCCGCCGACGGAATGCGTGAGCCCATTGATCCCGCTACAGGCATATTAGAAACGAAGCGGCCACTATTCGTGCGCGATAGACCGGAGCCACCACCTTCCTGACGATCCTTCACCAACTGATGCGCTTGCGCAAGACTCTCCGTTAGCCGCTTGTCAATACGCTCAGGTATGTTCTCAATGGCACGCTCACTTTCATCCATCGATACTGTGAGATTCTTCTCCGGTGTCATCAGGCCAAGTGGATCGCTACCTTCTTTACTAATCCAATCGTGCGTGAAGCACTCCTTTAAACTTATTCGCAAGGCCGGGTCCTTTGTAAGCATACGCTGCAGCAAGTTTTTCAAATGCGGCTCCATCGTGCGCTCCACATCCTTCGGAAAGCGCAACTCCACGCGCTGCACACGTTCTGCCAGAAGAATCTCATTATCCGCCATCCACGGAGGGTGTCCGATAACCATCATGTACAAAGTAGCTCCGAGTGACCACACATCCACAGCAGGACCCAGGTAGGTAGCATCGATATCAAACATCTCTGGGGCCATGAAGGCAGGGGTGCCCTTTGCACCTGAGATAGTCTCAGTATCGTTCATGATCATACGTGCTGTACCAAAGTCGGCGATTTTAGCCACGCTGTCGGAGCTGACGAGAATGTTTTCTGGTTTGATGTCACGGTGAATCACCTTGTGGAAGTGCAGATACTGAAGCCCGGTAAGAAGATCGCGCATGTACTTTCGAGCAACCATTTCATTCAGACGCCGTGCTTGTGTAACTTCCTCCATAAGGCTGTGTTGCACATATTCTTGCACGAGATACATCTTCTGGCTGTTCGGATCGTCAATGACCTCCACAAGCCTCACGACATTACGATGATGTAGCTTTTTCATTATGGCCACCTCGCGGCGCAGCACGTCATAGAGCTGGTCTTCTTTTCCAGCCATACGCTGTACGAAAGTCTTGTGCATGATTTTCACAGCGTACATCTGGCCGTCCTCCTGGCTTTCACATAGCTTGACACGACCAAATGTGCCTCGACCTAAATCGCCCTTGATCACATACTTGTTAACCACAACTTCGCCGTTTTTTAGCCGGTGCTTGACAAGTTTTCTCGTTTCAGTCGCTTTTACAGGTGACGCGGGCGCAGGCTGAGGTACTACGGTGGAACTCAATACACTATCAGCTCTAGAACCTCCCTGGGGAGCGGAAGAACCCACACTGTTCGCTCGCTGTTGTAGTCGCAGTCGCATAGCGCGACGCGTGGCCTTTTCCACATATGCCTCCTGGATAAAGCGCTGGAAATGGTCGGACAAGAGACACTTGTCGAAGTCCTCTTTAGTCAAGTACAAGCACTTGACGGGTCCGACCGCACGAACCGAAGCAGTGCGCGGCTCACTGTAGATCAGTGACATTTCGCCAAAAACGTGCCCCTCGTACAGTCGCGTCAGTTCCTTTTCATACGACTTCTTATCGGGTCCAACACCCGTTTCCGACACAATCGCTTCGCCGCGCGTAATCATATAGAAACGAGTCCCTTCGTCTCCTTGGCGGACAATGTACTCCCCATCGCTAAAATTTGCAGGTCGCAAGCACTTGAGCACAATGTCTTGATCTTGCGGACTCAATCTCGCCAGCAACGGTACTTGTTGCAGCATAAGACTCAGGTGCACCTGTCCAATGTGCCGGAAATCTTCTTGTGTCAAATATAGCAGCTCAACATCGCCAATTGCGCGCACTGTAGCCGTCCGCGGGTCGTCGTAAATCAGTGCGAGCTCACCAAAGTAGTGGCCAGCTCGTAAATGAGTCATCATGCGCTCTTGTGTTGGACCTGCACTCGACGGCGTTATGCCAGTGATGCTATTGCTGCTAGTGGCGACAGTCTTAGTCACCACAGCTTCTCCCTTGGCAATCATGTAGAACCGTGAGCCTCGTGTGCCTTGTGCGACAATGACGTCACCGTCCGAGAACTTGGCGGGCTTGAGCGCTCGCACGACCTGCTCCTGCTGCATCTGGCTCAAGTTCCGGAATAGCTGCACCTGTCTCATGATCTCGTACACGGGCATATTATCCCGTAAAAAGGGCGTGAGCGCCACAGCTTCGTCGTCCGCGTCGTCTTCTTCCTCGACATCATCGGGCGAGCTGAGCCAGGACGCCCAGCCGGTCATACTGTGCTGACTGCTGTTGCTGTTCCGTCCGCCGCTGCTGTGCATTGCCGAGAAAGACACGCTGATGTTTCCAGTGTGCGACGAGACGGACGAGCAAGCGCTCGCGTGTCGAGCGCGTTTCGGCAGCGACGGAGGCGACAGCACCGCGTCTTCAGGCTCGTCGAGCCAGTCGTTCACGAGCTCATCGCCGCTGCCCACGAGGTCTTCGTCCGAGGAGCTGGAGCTCGAGTCGAGCGATCGCGAGTCCGAGCTCGACTCGTCGTTGGCGACCGACAGCGACTTGGCCATGTCCATGGACGGCCGGAAACGCGCTAGTTTGGGTGGCGCCATGGAGCCGCGTCTGGTGAGCAGCTGCGCGTCGTCGTCAGGCTTGGCAGGGCGCGAGGGGGACGGACAGGACTTCAAGGAGGCGGTCTTGACGTGCGTGAACGTGCCGTCTTGGTCGCTGCTGGACGGCGACGGCTGGTGGTGGACCGACGGCTCTTGGTCTCTGGACGGCGTCGCGTGCACGTCGGTCGAGTGCGCGCACGTGTCGAGCTCTTCGTGGTGGGCAGGTGCTGGCTGCTGGAGAGTGGCGGTGGAGAGCGCAGAAGGGGAGGAGGAGACGGAGGTGGGAGAAGGAGAGCGGGAGGGCGGGGGAGGGGGGACGTCCGGCAAGACGTCGCTGTCGTCACGCGACGTGGTGAGGCGCTGCCCCATGGCGACGGAGAAGGCGGAGTGTGGGCAGGTGACGACGAGCGAGAGTTTTGACCAATGACAAGGCTGCCTCCGAGCGAGTCGAGTCGCGTTTTAAAGGGTGGGAGGACCCTGGACCGGTCCTGAAGTGTCAGAAGTGGTGGCTTCGTTGACAATGACAGCGCGGATGACGGTCCGTCTGTCCGCCTGTCTGTCTCTCCCTCTTTTTTTTCCTTTTTTTTTTGTTGTTTTTCTTCTTCCCCACCCACACGAAGATGTTTTTTTTCTCTTCTTTTTTTTGTTTGGTGGAACGCAACCAACCCCTTCTTAAAAAGGGGGGGGGGCGCTGAAGGACTTTCGGACAGACGGACAGCACTCGGGCGTACGAGTTGGTGGGTGCAGTTCAGTGGTCGTGTACAAGGCTGTGAGAACCGATGCTGGAGCTGGCGGGATTCGACCGGAATGGGCATTCGCTTTGCTTTGTTCGGCGGCCTTTTACGCGACTAGGTCTTGGACTCGGTCTTCTTGGGCTCGTGCGAGCTTCACATCGACAGCTAGCTCAGTGTATGCGCAACAACAAGAGTCGCGCTGACGTCGGAGAAAGGTCTGGTGAGGCTGGTGTGGAGCTGGTCTAGTGGTGACTTGATCACCGCGTGAGGGGCATAGCCTCGTGCACATTGGTGAAGAACGCACCGCCAACGTCGTCACTATTGAGGAGGCATCGATTTTAGCAGGCCGTCTCGGTGGCTGTTTTTGGTGGCCTGAGGAGGGAAAGGAGCGGCGACGTTGAAGGAAGAGAGCGGTATTTGATTGCGTTGGGCACGGATGCTGGCAACTCCTTGATGCTGGCTTCACATTCGGTGTGGTTCGCATGTCGGAGCGCTGGATGATGTTACGTACGAACAGATGCAAGCTCCAGTGGCGCTCCGATCCGGTCGCTCTGCTTGTGATAGTCCTGATCTGCAGCATCACATGCCGGGCCTTGTGACAAGCCACAAGTGCAGATCGCTGGCGTCCGCATGAAGTCTTTATGGAAGGTGTTTGTAAAAGTCGAGCGACTTGGCCCATGTTTGTCTCGCACATCGACAAGGAGTCGACGAGCCGTTGTGTACGTGGTGAGAAATCGTCGTGGTGTCAATCAAGTTCATGGCTTCGCCTTGTGCGAGCGATTCGGTTGCTGGCCGTCTGGCTCGTGACACCACAAGTGCCTGTTTGAAGTGTCGACACTAACCAAGTGGACTCGCACGACGACGAACACTCTTCGTTAGTACGAAATGGTACTCCTTTCTCCACTCTCTGGATACAGCAAGCAAAGAGTTTGCCGTCGACGTGAAGTCCATCGTTCCCATGTCAGTCCCAGCATGCCATTCTTGTAACAGCTCATGGATTATACACGATGCAAAGGCGACGAGGCGCTAGGCCCCGCCTTATTGAACACGCGAGAAACTCAACCATGTTTGTGTTTATTAAGGTCTGGACGCGCCAAGCTCGATAGCAGCTGTCGGTGAGCGAGCTCAGCTTCTCCACCTCTTCTATCTCCTCGGTTTAGCGTCCTACAATATGCACGATATCTACCCCAGCATCGATACAAGACATCAATGTGCCTGCATGTACCTTTGTGTCCCACTGCTTTCATGAAGAGGCCAGATACGGAGAACTGTTTAAACGCGTATGTAGGATCATGTCGTACCGCTCCTTTAACTGGCGCGCGAGCTTCTCCAAGTCTTCAGGCACGTCCTTGTGAAGTTCCTTCAGCATCTTCAAAAAATTATAAAACGCCCTGGAACGCTCTAAATCAGTGGTTTTATCGGGTGCGGTTTCGAGAAACATATGTTTATCCATCTCCTCAAGGGTCACAGCGTCGGCGGGTGTCTTCACTCTGATCGCCTCATTGAATCTGAGCCAGTGAATTGCAAGTTTCGGCGCACCTACAAAATAACCGATCCCGAACAGTTTCGAGCACCGTCCGGGGCTTCAGGTTCAACTCCTTCCACACGTCGACCAAGTCGTTAGAGCTGAGAGGGATCGATTGAGCGAACTTTTGCTGCAATTCGGTCACATGTCCCTTTTCAACAACACCATTTCCAATAGAAGAGAGGAGTACCGCCAGCTCGTGGCGTGGTACGGATTGCATTATCTGCGTGTATAGTGCTTCATCGCTGTAGTCAACACCTTGATCTCTCAACGCACGGACGGCCTGTGTGAACATCTTGTCGAAATTGGCGTCGATGCCTCGTGGCCGTCGAAGCTGCAACGCATTAAGAACTTTCTTTAATACGTCCGAGAACACTACTCGTTCCTCAGTTTGCTGATCAACAACACCGGTCCCTTGGACAGCCGCCGAGTCGCCCAAAAGTCTCGGACCGACAGACAGTGTCGTGTTTACAGCCTTGTCGTATGGTTTGAACAGCCCCGGTCCATCCGCTGTGTCATCGTAGAGGCGTGGGAAGGTGCTCTGGTTAAAAGCCACCACAGCATGATGTCGATCCCCGTCGACTGCCATCTCGGCATTCCTGCAAAGAAATGAGCTGCAGACCGCAAGCAAAACACAGCGTATGCGCATGTTGATCTCGGACGGTGAATTGGAAAGTGAGAGAAGCGCGTGGCAATCTCTTTCAGCTGCAATGAGAGCCGGACATCGCTCCAGTTTTTTGTAAGATCTGGTCGTCATCGTACCCTGTACCCACAAACGGGCATCGTAAACAAGTTGACGCCTACTTTGATGCGATTCGGCACGACTCTATTTTTGGAAGCCCTCGCGCGTGTTTTCTTGTGCGTCCGATCAGCCACGAGACCGCACGGTTGAGCGAGGTCCTGAGATAGGTGCCACATTATTATTTTCTGGTCGCTAAACGGCCTAAATTGTACAAAAGCCACCTGCACGGCCGAAGCTTACGGCCAACCAGCAGAGCCTTTACCGTTCCACCCTTCGACAACGGGATCATAAACATAACGCAGATGGTGCCTTAGCTCATGGTGGTACTTCCAGCCCGACAATCAACAGGCTTGAAACGACTATTTAGTGATAATCAATGTGAAAGCACTCAATTGTGAACACAATTTTCGCAACGTGACCAACTCAGGATAATAGAGGCGGACGGCGGCAGTTTTGCAAAGAAAGAACAATCCAGAAGCAAGTACGCGAGCAAATGTGGACTCTGACGTTGTCCCGAACAGAAAGTGGTGGGTATCTCACAGCAGGGTCTTGTCCCACTGATATCTACGAGAGGACGTCATCTGACGATGACGTCTTGTTTTGACAGTGGTCTTTGACATATTCACATAAGTATCCAGCCACGAAGGCGTGTAGCCCTTTCCCATCGCTTTACGTCTGAGTAAACGGGGCAGCCAGTGCATCCTATCAGTTCCGACAGATGACGAACTATCGAATCCAGGTCTCAACGATCCAGTGCGTAAGGCACGTCATCATCAGTTGATGATCAATCCGGTGAACCTGGCTTTTACAAGATCGCCGAATGCTCATCCAGATCTGCCACAAACAACAATCGAGCTTTTTACCATCAAGACGTGTGATAGGCTATTCGTTTGGTGCGCAATTTTTGGGTAGCTCTGAATACACTTACACATAATCAGGCCAAAAATACCCACTCGTCACTTTGTCCAGAGAATTGTTCGATTCACTTCCCTTTTCGTCAGTTAAGTAAACACTCGAAACAGACCATTGAGATACGATAAAACATAAATGTGAAACATTTCCACTTTATCACACCATTTAACATGGTACTTTCTCGCTGTAACTAGCAGCAACGGTGCAGTAGTGCATTCACCTTAAGACCGTACCTAATGCGATGCATGCCTACATGCTCATCTCCCTCTTTATTGTATCCGATACCTGTGGCTAATACAACGTATTATTGCGAGCTGTAGGGTGAAGCTGTAAGTTGCTGTGCACAAGGTAAAATGTCGATCTTTTAAATCGTACTTATTTGTGCGTGTGTCGGTGTGTCTGTCTGTAGAAAACGCGGTTAGGAGGGTTTTTTTACAGACATACACTTATTCGTGCTAAGTGCAATCTAGCCTGTCCCCCTCATGGGTATTAAAGTTCATTCAAGTCACTCTTCGGATAGGTCACTGCTATGGTGCACGCTTAATGTTGGCTTTAAATCGATCAAAGGTGAATTTGATCACATAAGCAAATGCTAGACGCTTATCAGCAAAAGCCGATCAAGTTGCCCATGTATACTGTATTAGGTTAGTACAGACAGTAGCGGCATCATACTCATTCTTCTGTGACCGCTGATGCATATGGTTTAGCAACTTGATTCAGTTCTATAACTGAAATTACTTACATCAGAGGGCTAGCTCCAGAGCTTGCTCCCCCATCTTATGGTTTGATGTAATCATCGCCATCACCACAGTTCTTGTCGTCTTCGTCTTCATATACTTCTACTTTCAGTTTATCTTTTCTTATTTTGTTGGTACTCAAACGCTTGTCCGTTCAATTCCATCCCAAGTTGTACGTAATCTTCTTGACCATTTTAACACACCCTAAACCCTAATTGATCGATAAAATGGAAGTTTTGGCCTGAAATTCGGTCTCTAGAGAAAGTGGTGTACCAAAACATGATCGCGCGACGTTCCACAGTTTTTTGTACTAGATACTCAAAAATATCGGCTACAACTTCACACTAGTAACTCCAAGAGCATCGCCACCATCAAAACCTGATCGACACGACGTGGAAAAAGACCTCTGCTCCTATGCAACGCCATTGCGTCGTAAAATCGGTAGCGCTTGCGGGGTGTTCGAAAGCAAATATAGGTATTATTCAAATTTGATAATGACCAATTTATGAAGACTCATGTTAATGTTCACTAAGCGAAAAAAGGGAGTGAATTTACCAATTCCCTTAGTCTATCCATTCGACTTTTACAAACTATGTCAGTGAATGCTAAAAGAACATCCACTAAACTCGACACGATGACATCCACACATTTTAAGGAAATGGTCACCCTCACACCCACTTTTTGCTCTCCCCACACCCTTCATACCGGTACACATAAAGTACTATCGGTGATAGACAAACAAAGAAGGAGTATCCTGTACTAGTCGTACCGCCACGGGACGGGTTAAAAAAAATGTTTAGCTGAGAAAGTATTACTGTCCTCTGTAGCTCCAAGTACACAAATGTATCGAATCATTCAATAACATGATTGCGGTTGACCTGACAGATGGCAGATTAACTCGCTGTATGCATTCCGTGAAAGACGATAGTATACTTCCCTCCGGTTTTGCTAAACTTTACATCCGACCGTTTGAAACCACGAATCAAGACAAGTCTAAGACAAGTACCGCACTAACATAGCTTAAGCATAAATACACTACTATCACTAGCACCAAGACACATATTCATCCATACGTGAGGATTTTAGCTAGTCGTCAGTGCAGCATCCATACATCCCCTCCTAACTTTGTTACAATTCAGAGTGGACCTCCCAATGAAGATTTGTTTCGGTGTGATTTTGAACTGCACGCGTCCTTTAGATTCTTGCCTGCTGTACGTGAGTACAGAGCCGTAGTAGTGTCAAGTCGATATTCGCTGCAGACAATGTGTGTCGAAGTATGCGCAACTTGATTCGACCGTTTTTGTGGTGTCACGTGCATGCTTCTGTATTGTCGAAGCCATTGATCTCGTATCTGCAGTATCCGACGCCAATTCTTCTGATCATGCACAGATCTATTTAATGCGATCTGAAAAGCCGACGTGAGGCCTGTGTTTTAGAGTAAAAAAGCGTAGACGCGGCTGGTGTGAAAGAAGACAATCAATCGAAACGACAAATACGATGAACAATGTAAAATCGATTTAGCCGAATGCTAGTACATAATTGTCTTGGGAAAGCGACGAAGTAAATTCCCAATTTGATCTTAATCTGAAATAAGTGTTGCTCAATCGGGTAAATCTGCCAGCAACAAAACACAAGGTAGCAACGATGGAGTGATTCCCTTGGTTGTGTGAATCTTTGACCTGCTGTCAATCTCTGTATCCACCTGGCTGGCTGCAGCCGTCGGCGAAATGGTATGTGATCACACTTTTCACATACATTTCGGACTTTTCAGCTGTTCATTCTGATTTTACATCTCGCAAAATGCGCTTTTAGTTAGAGTGAAGTGAATAAAACTATTGACAAATGTAAAAACGGATTTTGTCGCGGTCAAGTCTGTTTTTAGAGCAGCGGCGACCGAGTGGTTTCCTTTTTGGTCTGATTATGGGTGATTCTGGCCTAATTGGGTAATCGTGCCAGCAACAGTACAACAAGGAAGCGGCGATCGAGTGATTGCCTGAATTAACCACAGGTTTGTTATTGCGATATATTCGAATGTCTTCTTTATCAGTCTAGTATGGCATCAGTGGACAATCTGCTTGGCGTTGTGACCTACGCGCTCATTATCTCACCAATAACACGCAGTTCAGTGCCAGCCGCTTACGTTGTGCTTCGCATGATTTATTTCCACAGGCAATCATCTGAAGCTAGAGCAAAACGTTTCCACAATAAACTCACATACAGACACAGCGCTGAGAAGAGCAGTGCGTTTATGAAATCTACTGTCCTCCAAAACGGTACGTTTGCAATAATTTGGAGCACATTTACATCGTGAAGACCTTCGATAGAATTTCGGCCGCACCTTGTCAAATTGTTTTGGTGGATTGGTGAGAGTAGTAGGCGTCGCTACACGGCAACATGTACACTTTGTCCTAAGTGCACCAGCTTTTCACTTGATTAATCAGTGACTCGTCGACAAACAATCTGACATCGCCACTGTGAAGTCGATGATTTTTTTTGTTTCTTAGCACGTAACATTATGCATGATAAAAACTGGTTCGAACGAGTTGTAGTAGCCTGTCTCCATTCTGCTCGCTCAGTGAAATCGGTGAAGCAGCAGTTTTTACTTACTCATGTGCATAAGCGGCGCTGAAGATGTAATAAATAAAGCACGGCTGCTCTGCATCACAGAACGCACGAACTTCACTTGTAGAAGGCTAGTTGTGTCGAATTTAGGTACAATTGAAAGGAATGGGCATTGCTTTATATATTGTGACCGCAGCAATGTCTGAGTAAACCAGCGTTACAATAAGCTTGGCTAAAGTCGGCGAGTCACCACCTAGCGAAGTATCATCAACTTGTGCCGAGTAGTACAAGAATTTGTTTTTACAATACTCGCTCCTTTAGTAACATTAGTGAAGACGGTCCGGTTGTGATTTGATATAAGATAGACAGGGTGAGTGGGTAAGAATCTCCAGGCGCGCACTTCGTCCGCGAGCGAAGCGATCCCAAGCCGTGCTGATCATCGTCTTTGTGTCCAAGGGCGGCCGAAAGCAGCTTTCTCTTCAACAAAACTGAATGCACCCGTCTTCGTGCTCTTTCGACAAAAAAGTGCAGATGTATCTGGCGTACACTCTATATTTCAAATAAAAACGTAAAATCAATTTGCCATGGCCCAGTCACGCTTGTCAGTGGACAAACTGACGCTTGTCCCCCACAACGCGCTTGCCGTACGGGTTGTCGGCGCTAAATGAGTGTCCCGAACGCTGGAACTTGCCACCACGTGCGCTACCATCATTGTCGAACGATTTGCCCTTGCGCTTTCCAGTCTTGCCATTCGTCTTCACAGGAAGCGTCACCTTGGGCGGAATCTGGAGTCCAAACGACTTGGCAACCCCTTGCAAATCGAGTCGACCAACATCAAATATGCTTTTCAACGAATGCGAAGCGTACGCCAGCAGATAGCCACGGTACGCATCCTTGGCTGATTTGTGCAGGTAGTACGTTTTCTCCACGAGCTTCATCAGTTGTGACTCGACATTGGCAATTTTCGAAACAGGAAACTCGTACTCATTAAGTGCCACCTTTGAAGCCTTGAGGTACTTCAAAAAGCCAAGTTCATCTGGCAAAAGCATGAGCAATGCCTTACCCTTGCCCTTAGCGCCACGAGCCGTACGACCGACGCGGTGAATGTACTCGCGCGGGTCATCAGGCGGGTCAAACTGAATAATCCAGTCCACGGCCGGAATGTCGAGACCTCGCGCCGCCACGTCAGTACAAAGCAAGATGCCCGTCTTTGCGTTACAAAACTGAAAGAATGTCGTCGTGCGTTTGTTTTGTTTCTGCTTTCCGTGAATGTCCAGCACAGGAATGTCGATATAATTCAGAAGTTCCCCGTAGAACTTGACTGCATTGCACGACGAAAAGAACACCATCACTTTCTTCTTCAGATTCTTCTTGAGAAACGTGAACAGCAACAGGAAGCGCTTATCACTCGGTGTAACGACATATCCCTGTTCGAGTGTTGCTACCGTAGCCTTGGTATCCTCCTCTTCCACACCAACATACACCGGCTTCTCCTTGATGGATAGACGAGCAAGGTCCTCCACCTTCTTTGTCTGCGTAGCACTAAACAACATCGTCTGACGCTCCTTAGGTATGCACTTTATGATCTGACGCATCTCCTCTTCAAAACCGATCGACAAAATGCGATCGGCCTCGTCAATCACAAGAATCTGCAGATTGTGATACACAAAGGCCTTCGTGTTCTGCAGGTGATCTAACAGACGACCAGGCGTGGAGATCAGAATGTTTACGCCCTTTACCAAGCGCTCGGCCTCAGCGCGGCGGTTAGCGCCTCCCATCACAATCCCGTGCGTCTGTGAATGGTATTTGCAGATGTCACGCACAACACCGTATATCTGCAGCGCCAGTTCGCGAGTCGGAGAAATCACAATGCAGCCCGTTCCTTTGCGTGCCGTGAAACGCACTTTGTGCATTAGCTCAATCGCCGGAATCAAGAAAGACAGCGTCTTTCCAGAACCCGTCTTGGCTGCCCCCAGTAAATCCTGACCAGCCAACAACGGACGAATCGACTTGGACTGGATTTTGGTCATTTTAGAGAAGCCCATGTCAGCTAGCGCCTTACGTGTGGGCTCAGAAAGTGGCAGCGAAGCGAAGTCCTCACCGCTAAAGTAGCGCTCATCCACACTGCCCTCGGCTTGGCTGAGTCTGGCAGCCTCACTGATCGCCTCCTCTGTCTCTTCATCCTGTTTGTCGTCTCCAGTCTCACCAACAGACTCGACCGTTTCGGCCACTTCAGACTCGCCCTCACGCTTCTCTGCCTCTTTGGCCTTAGCCGACTTGTTCTTCTTCTTCTTCTTCTCCAGTCTCGTGCCTGCTCCCTCAGCACTACCATCTACAGCCGCTGGCACCGTAGCTGCAGTTAACTCCTCTTTTTCACCGGTTGGCGGCGTCACCTCTGACGAAGCTGCGCCCTTGCGATGCGACTTGCTCATTTTATCGACCTGTCGAACGTTTCGCGTCTGCTTCAATCCCGTTTTCAGTAACATCGCTTGCTCCTCATTATATCAGTGCATTTGGCTGGCTGGGAAGCAGTCGCCGAATACCGAGCGAGGATTGGCTGATAGCTACCTGCTCGCTTATGTACGATCACCGGGAATGGCATGTCAATTTCTGCGTCCGTGATCGGGAACAAGACTCGTCACTCTGTCGATGATGCTGCGCTTCGCCTCGCGCGCCCTGCGGCACTCAAAACACGTGGTTGCACCCTGCCAACTGCAACTTGTACGAACGCCGGATCAGCTGCGATCATTTGGGCTCTTTTCGGACCTTAAGAACCAGTTGAAGAGCGAGCTCGAACAAAACGCGGAGCTCAAGAAATCGTTCGAAGAGCTAAACCACACTAGAAAGCAATTTGAGCACGTCAAAAAGGTCGCCACGGAAAAGGTGAGCGCCGTGGGGTCTATGACTGGAGAAGCGGCTCGAAGTTTCCAGCAACAGGCATCTGAGGCCTCCAAGAAGCTGAAAGAGTCTCACTATGGGACTGCTGAGGCCGGCCACAAAGAAGACGGTGCTGGGAGTAGATCCAGTAGCGAGAAGTCGATGGGCGGACGAGCAGAGGACGAGGCTAAGCGAGCTGGAGCCGATAGTGAGGTGCGTTGAACGCCGTGCCATGCTGCCTTTTGCTGAGTGAGTCATCCTACAGCGATCACGAACTACTGACATGTATGCTGCAGACGAACGAGTCGGTGGAAAACGCGCGTGCTTTTGTGAAGAACTTTTTTGGTGGGCTTGCTGCTCAGAAGAACAAGGTCGTGCATTCCAGCAGCTTTTCTAAACTGCGCGACGAATGGAAAGAGGCTGCGCAAGAGCTGTTTGGTAAGAAGGAAAAGCAGACGGTTGACGAGGCACTGGCCTCTGTCCGCACGCCGTCCACGCAGAAAACAAAGAAAGCAGAAACTGACGGCGAAGGGCCTCCGGTGTACACGGGCACCAGTGCGCTGGTCGCAGTGAAGGAGTCGGATAGCGCGTGGCAGCGTGTGAGCGCTCGTTTCCGCGAAGCCCCGATAATTAAGGGCATTTTGGACGCGGCGAAGCAGGCAGCAAAGACCGATGCAGGAAAGAGGGTGCAGCAGACGACGAAAAAGGTGAAAGACAAGCTCAATGACGCGCAGGAAGAGGTGCTTGAGGTTTGGGAGACTAGCCAGAACCCTTGGGTCTATAGGCTGTCGTCCATCTATGACGGACTCTTCGGTGAAACGCCGATGGGTGTTGCCATCAAGGAAATTCGCCGAGCTGAGCCGGACTTTATCTTGGAGCAGTGGAAAGAGAACATTGAGAAAGTCGTTCTGCCAGGGGTTTTGGAGGCGTTCCTCCGTGGCAACAGCCGTGACCTCAAGAAATGGTTCGGCGAAGCGGCGTACTCACGTGTGAACATCGCCATTCGGGAGCGCAAGTCGGAGGGTTTGGTCATGGATCCGCACGTGCTCAGCATTGACAACGTGGAAGTCATTGAGGCTACGGTACGGTTGGTCTCTGTGTTCTCTGCATGTACTGTCGCGCTAGTTTTCGTCCTAACGCATGGGATGGGTACACAGGCCGAAGACAAGCAAGCTCCTATCGTCCTCATGCGATTTCAGGCGCAGCAGATCAACTGCATTCGCAATCGAGAGGGCGAAGTTGTCGAGGGGTCTGAGGACGAGGTGCTGGCCTACTATTACATTTTTGCCTTCCAGCGCGAGTACGACGAGGAGCTCGAGTCTCTCCGCTGGCGAATCGTGGATCTGCACATGCAGCGCGGCGGTCGGTATTATTAGAACGGCGAAAGCTTGCACTGTGCGCAGCCGGTATCGTCTGATTTGTATCGGATGAGCCAGTGTAGTGAATAGAAAAGCAATGGCGCAGGATAGACCGACTGACTGACTTCAACCTTTTTACGCGTTGAAGTTTCCCTGACCATCATTCTGCTCCGCATTGCGAGCCAGTGCCCTCTCGCTTCAACGTCAACATGTAGTGCGGACTAGTCAACACTAACAAAAAAGAGAACGAGGCGATTAATGAGGACCCCAATGAGGTGCGCCTCTTGAGACCGAGAAGAGCTGAGATGACTGCTACGTCCATAACTCTTCTGCCGTGAACAGGAGTCACCACGCCAGAGAGAAACTGCGACTGGCCGCAATTCTTCGTGTAAATAGCAGCGAGGACGAAGACGACGAGGGCGCGCGCTCGTACGAGCCGATCGACCTGCTTCAGGACGCAGGCATCAACGCCATCGATATCGTGAGGCTCAAGAAGAACGGCTTCGCAACCATTGGGCAGCTCTTCCAAGTTTCGCAGCGGAAGTTGTTGGGAATGAAGGGGATTAACGAGGCCAAAATGGACAAAGTACGAGGCGGTTCATCAGCTGTAGGGACCGAAAAGCAACTGCTGAAATTACTGACGTACTGTATGCTAGTTCCTTCAAGCAGGCAAAAAGGTCTCTTCGGCCTACTGAGCATCAACTTCACCTTCCACGACTGACAATAAATGGGCTGCCGCAGCTGATGCCCGAAAAGAGCGGGTTCGTCACGGCTAGTACACTCTATCTGCAGAGTCAGAGCAAGATATTCATCACCACTGGATCAGCTCGTAAGGAAGGAGAGAGAGCACTTACATTGTCATCTCATTTGCCGCATTCACGAAGCACGTTGTGAGTGGCAGAACTCGATCAAATTCTTGGAGGTGGCTTGGAAACGATGTCGGTGACAGAGGTAGAAGTGAAGATCTCGAGCGGAACGAACGGGCCAAGTCTGACAAAACACGCGTGTTCACGTGTAGGTGCATGGCGAATTTCGGACAGGAAAAACGCAGTTGTGCCATACGGTACCGCTTCATCACCTATGTTTCAACTTCAACTATGAAACGGTAAGGTGACGATTGTATGTGGTTTCGCTAGATATGTGTGACGGCGCAGTTGCCTCGCTCCCAAGGAGGTGCAGCTGGTAGGACGACACTCGCTTACTATTCTTTACTCGCGGTGGCTTGGAGTCGATTTAATCATGCACACTCAACCAGGGAAAATCGCGTTTATCGACACAGAAGGGACGTTTCGGCCAGTACGTTTTGCCTACCATTTATGCCTTGGATCTGGAAGCACATTCTCGTACTTGATGGTGCACCTCGATAGAACCGTGTCGCCGAGATTGCAAAGGAGCGATACAACCTGGTACGGACTCTTTCACCTGGCTTCTGCTGTAAAAGTGCTTCTTTGTATTGATCGCAAGTACATGCAGGACCCTAAGGAAACTCTTGACAACATTGTTGTTGCAAGGTAGCATTCTTAGCTTTACAATACGAGCTATGCAGATTCTGACGTTCTCTGCAGAGCTCACAGCCATGACGCCCAGATGGATCTCGTCACCGAGATTGGGGTGCTTTTCGCAGTATGTGTCGGACCCATATTTTGTGGGAAACTATATCGCCTTATTTATACATACATTCACAGGACCCTGATCAAGGTCCATTTCGCGTGTTGATCATCGACTCAGTGACGGCATTATTCCGCACGGATTTTTCCGGAAGGTAAAATTTAAGGCTACAATGTATCGACCACACGTTTCTGACTTTCTCGTTCTAATGCCGATGCATGGCATCTTCGATATGCAGCGGAGAGCTTAGCGAGAGGCAACAGCGACTGAATCAGCATCTGGTTCGGCTTGTGAAGCACGCCGAGGTAAGTAATCCGTACCGATGTTGTCAGCAATGGCGGTATCTCAGACCGAACTTCTCTTTTAATGTAGGAATTTAATATCGCGGTTCTAGTGGTCAATCAAGTGATGGCTGACCCTGGAGCCAACATGACGTTTGGCTCCGCGATGAAGCCTGTTGGTACGCGGAAAAGGCAGGGAAGTTCGTAATGCAGAGGATAACGTTTGTTGCCCTTTTCGTGCCCCTTTCGTAGGAGGCCACGTGATGTCTCACGGAGTCCACACGCGCGTATTGGTACGTCGTCGAAACATCGTGCGGGCACAACGACGGTCTAATGACGGTTCTTGTTCAATTTGATGCAGATGAAGAAGGGGAGAAGTGAAAATCGCATATGGTACACTGATTCATCATATTATTCAGTGGTGTGCGGATTGATTCGACATGACTAAAATGTACATCATATCACGCAGCAAGATTATCGACAGTCCATGCATGCCTGAAGCAGAATGCTCAATCAAGCTTTACGCAGGCGGGATCACTGACTCGGACGACTAATTCAATTGGAATAGATTACTCGGGTAACTTCTTGCGTAAGTTTTACTTGTGCATCATTCTACATGTCTCGCATCGCATGTTCTTGCCTACAGTCGTCTGGGGCGTACCATGTCGGGTTGTAAGAGCACTCCACATCAGAATTTATGTTCTCCACGCCGTATTTCAACTCAGCTGGCAGCGCTTCCACGTCCTCTCCCACGCAGTCAATGTGCTCGTGCAAAACGTGCATGGCAAGAATCAATAGCGTCGACGGTTGGTGCTTCATCGTGTACCGGAAAACGTCATTGTTGCGCTCCACGCCGTTCGATCCGCCGAATACAAAAATACGGTCATCGTAAACGACACTAGTGTGGAAGTCTCGAGGGTCGGGCTGGTAACTTCCCTCGTTGTTACTGAAGATCTGCCATTCCCCTGTCTGCAAGTTCAGTTCACTCATCTCATTTTGTCGTGAACCACTGTCGTCGCGCCCACCGAACATGACCAGTCGGTACGGGTCACTGGACAACTGAGAAATTGTATGTGCGATGCGCGACTTCGGAATGTTACCGCTGCACTCGACGTCGTGCCATTCGAGTGTACCCACATCGAGGTAGTACGTGTCGATAGGTCCTGTGGGAGGATCGTAAAGTCCGCCCCCGATAACATACATGCGATTGTCGATCATTGTCGCTTGGTGCTTGTACCGCGGGCTGGGGCGCTTGCCTCCTGTCTCCTCCTTTCTCCAGATCTTCGTTGCTTCGTCAAAAATGTACAGATCGTTCACGTACACGTGTCCAGAAGTGCCTCCGAAAAGGTACAGCATGTTGTCATTGGCACACATAGTCTGGCCGTATCCCGGAGGCGGCTGCGTGCCCTTTGCCTCAACGATCGTCCAGCTCTTATCGCGTATGTTAAACTGCAGCAATTTTCCCATATTGGTCTGGCCCCAGTGCGGTCCTGACCCACCAAATAGGTACAGCTTCGTCTTATCGGTTGACGCACACCAAGCATGAGAAGCACGGCCGTCTGTGGAACAAACATCATATGTACGTTGTGAGCACAGATATGATCGAGTTACAGTGCACTTGAAGTCATCGTCATACCAGGACAGACGCTGCTCGTTTTCTCGATGAGCTGCCAATGGTGGTGAACCAGGTTGAAGGCGTAGACATCATTGTGACAGTTTCCGTCGTTGTACCCTCCGAAGACATACATCACGTCACCGACTGTAGGCAACCAAGTAATTAGCATACAGGCGGCGCCTACGCATGTAAAGATTCATTAACACTTACCGACTAGAGAAGAGTGGCCGCTCCGCATGGGAGGCCGGTGGCCGGAAGTCGAAATCTTGGTCCAATTTGACGGCGTGTCTTCTACAGAACGTATCACAACAGCCACGATTAGTACGGCGTCAACGTTAAGCGCTAGGTCCACGAGACCCCACACACTACCAACAGCAGGCCTACCTTGTTCGCTTTCCTCATACGTCAGCTCAGAACCAAGGAACCCAAAGCGCCGAGCGATGGGTGAATTGACCCAGTGTGGACTGCGCAGCAATTTAAGCAAATCGTCGAACATTCCGTCGCGCGATGTTGAAAGCCCGGGCACTTGTAAACAGCAGGCGGCAAGTTCGATAGTGCGCTTATCTGCGCTTGCTCTTCGCTTTTGTCTACTGATACTCTCGCAACAAAGTACAACTCTTCTATGGCCGCTTGGCTGTTTCCTATCTCAAGGACATTCCACCGCCTACTTGCAAAATAGCCTTGACAACATGCCCATCGCACTCTCTGACAGCTCTTATACGCTATTTATAGTTCCTTTCTTACTCACCCAGCTAGCATAGGTAAGTACGAAACCCGTTGTTCGGTTTCGAGCTGATGGACGATAGATGAGACGTCGCACGATGTCGCCTAGTCGTCAACGCCAGTAGTACTCAACTGCGTTACCAAAAACAGAGAGAGCCATCATACAAATACTGGCCACAATTCCGATGGCAAATAACTCGTCGTGTCTGTCATAGCAGCTCTCGCGTGCGACTCGCTCAGTACTGTCTGACAACGAAGTCGCGCACAATGGGACGAGGGAGGGCGGACTATCCATTTTTTCGGTCTCCGTTGGATTTAGTTGCTCGACTTGCAACGAGTAGAAAAGTCGCATGAAGCGATTTGAAGACGACAGTAATTCGCAGTTGACGAGCCACATGGTACTGTAGCTGCAAGGCAAGCATCGTCTCTAACACTGGAGCTGCAGAGACGAGGAGGACGTCGTACGTGCATGTTACATAAGTTTTGACAAGCGGCTACTTCAGCAATAATTCGACCGTCCACGCAATGGGCACTAATTGCGGTAGTTGCGTGCCGAGCTGGCGCCATATGCACCAAATTGTCGTCATGTCAGCAATAACTCGCTTCAAGCTCATGAAGCTGAAGTGTAATTCCTACTTTGTGTGTAGCCACGTCTGCTCCCCACCGTGACTAAATCTCAACGCTCACTGAAGACACCACTCATTGCTTCCGATGCCGGTCGTGCGGCGTCAGCAAGTGTACCGCCAATTCCCTCGAGCTCGCAGCCTATACGGTCTAGGCTCGTATGCATGATTGATCATGTTTAAATCTCATAGCAAATAAATGTGACGACTGAATCGTTGTAATCGATCAGCTTCGCTCACATTAACAGATGCAAACAAGCTATGCGTTGCGGTTATCGAGTGTGTCCACGTGCTGCCACAATAACTGTGGTTTGAAGCACTACTCAGCATAAATGACAACCACGTAGAGTTTGTCGAAATGTAATTCGCGTAGTATTACTTCCCACTTACGCCACGTCACGAACGCTCTAGCTCGAATAGCACAAACTTTTCGCAGCAAGCTTGCAACCACCACGGACTCCACCATTCTTCATCTACCGACAGCATCCATATCTTCATTTTCGAGACCCCTTAGTCATTAGACGTCGCGTATAGCATCTCAGAATGTATAAATCGGAACAACGGATATGATCCTTCGGTTTAAGCAATTCCGATAGCTGCGCGGTATCCCGTTGCCTCGTCACCATTTCAAAGCACATCGCCGTCACTTAGAAGTCAAGCCAGGGTTGATATGTCAGGCTTCCGACCTCGATTGGACCGTGTGTCACACACAAAAATAGCCTATCCATCGCCCGTAAAGGCTTGGTCTTGACCTCTACTTTCATTGCGTCGATGCGCTACTGCAGCTTCGAGTCTTTATTTGTGTAAGTTACCTCCGCACAGTCAGCCATTTTAGCCTTCCCGGATGACGGGTTTTTCTTCGTGAGTGAGAGATCATACTGCGTCCCCGCGCTAGCTTCTTTGCGGTGTTTGCTACACAACATGTAACGGGGCACCCTGAAGCTTGTACTGGTGACAGTACAAGCTACTTATTCTGATGACAGAATAAGGCGGTGCCTCGTAACTTCACGTACACTCGTACGTGCAGAGGAAGACGGTAAGAAGAAGCGAGTACTTGGTTAAAGTAAAAAGTAGAACTGTATTTATAATAGTTAATGTCTGCAATAAATCACTATTTATCTTTTTTTGGGTGTGTGGGGGGGGGGGGGGGGGGGGGGGGGGGGGGGGGGGGGGGGGGGGGGGGGGGGGGGGGGGGGGGGGGGGGGGGGGGGGGGGGGGGGGGGGGGGGGGGGGGGGGGGGGGGGGGGGGGGGGGGGGGGGGGGGGGGGGGGGGGGGGGGGGGGGGGGGGGGGGGGGGGGGGGGGGGGGGGGGGGGGGGGGGGGGGGGGGGGGGGGGGGGGGGGGGGGGGGGGGGGGGGGGGGGGGGGGGGGGGGGGGGGGGGGGGGGGGGGGGGGGGGGGGGGGGGGGGGGGGGGGGGGGGGGGGGGGGGGGGGGGGGGGGGGGGGGGGGGGGGGGGGGGGGGGGGGGGGGGGGGGGGGGGGGGGGGGGGGGGGGGGGGGGGGGGGGGGGGGGGGGGGGGGGGGGGGGGGGGGGGGGGGGGGGGGGGGGGGGGGGGGGGGGGGGGGGGGGGGGGGGGGGGGGGGGGGGGGGGGGGGGGGGGGGGGGGGGGGGGGGGGGGGGGGGGGGGGGGGGGGGGGGGGGGGGGGGGG